TATGAACCAGTTGATCCCAGTTCCCTCCCAGTCCCTCCCAGTCCCCATCCCAGTCCCATCCCAGTATAAACCAGTATAAACCAGTCCCCATCCCAGTCCCTCCCAGTCCCTCTCAGTATAACCCAGTCCCTCCCAGTCCCATCCCAGTGCCCTCCCAGTATAACCCAGTCCCTCCCAGTCCCATCCCAGTCCCCATCCCAGTCCCATCCCAGTATAACCCAGTCCCTCCCAGTCCCCTCCCAGTATAACCCAGTCCCTCCCAGTCCCATCCCAGTCCCCATCCCAGTCCCATCCCAGTATAACCCAGTCCCTCCCAGTCCCTCCCAGTCCCCCCCAGTCCCTCCCAGTCCCTCCCAGTCCCTCCCAGTTCCCTCCCAGTTCCCCCCAGTCCCATCCCAGCTCCTCACGTGTCCGGGCCGCAGGCGGTGCCGGGGCCACCCCAGGAGCCACCGCGGGCTCGCGCCGCGCGTCCCCGCCAGGCTCAGGGTGACCGCGCCCAGGGTGCCCCCCCCGCACTGCGCGCCCGTGGCGACCCCGAGCCGGTACCAGCGCCCCTCCCCCACCGGAACCGGGCACCGCCGGACCGGAACCGGGCACCCCCGCCCCTCCCCCACCGGAACCGGGCACCCCCGGACCGGAACCGGGCACCCCCGCCCCTCCCCCACCGGAACCGGGCACCGCCGGACCGGAACCGGGCACCCCCGCCCCTCCCCCCCCCGGAACCGGGCACCGCCGCCCCTCCCCCACCGGAACCGGGCACCGCCGCCCCTCCCCCACCCGGACCGGAAACCGCCTGGGACGCCAGGGTCACGCAGGGGTCACGCAGGGGTCACGCAGGGGTCACGCAGGGGGGTCCTGAATGGTCTTTAGGGGTCCTGGGGTCACCCAGGGGTCACTCAGGGGTCACCCAGGGGTCCTGAATGGTCCTTAGGGGTCCTGGGGTCACTCAGGGGTCACTCAGGGGTCACCCAGGGGTCACTCGGGGGTCACCCAGGGGTCCTGGGGTAACTCAGGGTCACCCAGGGGTCACTCAAGGGTCGCCCAAGGGTCACCCAGGGGTCACCCAGGGGTCCTTGAGGGGTTTTGGGGTCCCTGGAGGGTCCTGAGGGTCACTCAGGGGTCACTCAGGGTCACCCAGGGGTCACTCAGGGGTCACTCAGGGGTCACTCAGGGGTCACTCAGGGTCACCCAGGGGTCACTCAGGGGTCACTCAGGGGTCACCCAGGGGTCCCTGGGGGTCCTTGTGGGGTTTTGGGGGGATTTTGGGGTCCCCTGGGGATTTGAGGGGGTCCCTTGGGGGGTCCTTGAGGGGTTTTGGGGTTCCCCGGGGATCCTTGGGGGGGAGGTTTTGGGGGGGGTCCCTGGGGGTCTCCCAATCCTGGGGGGTCCCTGGAGGGTTTTGGGGGGGTCCCCGGGGGTCCCTGGGAGTTCCTTGGGAGTCCCTGAGGCTCTCCCGGGGTTCCCTGAAGTTTTTGGGGTCCCCGGGGGTTTTGGGGGTCCCTGGGTGTCCTTGGAGGGGTCCCCTGGGGGGGGTCCTTGAGGGTTTTGGGGTCTTTGGGGGGTCCCTGAGGGTCTCCCGAGGGGTTTTGGGGTCCTTGAGGTTTTTGGGGGTCCCTGGGGGAGTCCCTGGGGGTTTTTGGGGTCCCTGGGGGTCACTCAGGGGGTCCCTGAGGGGCTTTTGGGGGTCCCTGGGGTGGTCTCAGGGGGTTTTTGGGGTCCTTTTAGCGATTTTGGGGTTCCCCAGGGATTCCTAGGGATGCCTGGGGGGTTTAGGGGGGTCCCTGTGGGGGTTTTGGGGTCCCTGGGGGTCCCCGGGGGTTTTTGGGGGGGTCCCTGTGGGGTTTTGGGGGTCCCCGGGGGTTTTTGGGGGTCCCCGGGGGTTTTTGGGGGGGTCCCTGTGGGGTTTTTGGGGGGGTCCCTGGGGGTCTCCCGGTCCTGGGGGGGTCCCTGGGGGTCCCTCGGCGGCTCCGGAGTCCCTCGGGCGCGGCTGCTCCCAGTAACAGCTCCCAGTGCTCCCAGTAACAGCTCCCAGTGCTCCCAGTGCTCCCAGTCCGGCCCAGTTCCCGCCCAGTTCCCGCCCAATCCATCCCAGTTCCATCCCAGCCCCTCCCAGTTTGTCCCAGTCCCTCCCAGTCCCCTCTCAGTTTCCCCCCAGTTCCCGCCCAGTTCCCGCCCAGTTCCATCCCAGTCCCTCCCAGTTTCCCCCCAGTTCCCGCCCAGTTCCATCCCAGTTTGTCCCAGTCCCTCCCAGTTTGTCCCAGTGCTCCCAGTCCGGCCGGTCAGGGCACTCCCGGCCCCAGGAATGTCCCAGTTCCTCCCAGTCCCTCCCAGTCCCTCCCAGTTCCATCCCAGTTTCACCACTGCTCCCAGTCTGACCAGTTCCAGCCCTGCCGGCCTCAGCCACCCCCGCACCAGGCACACCCCAGTTCAACCCAGTTCATCCCAGTCCATCCCAGTCCATCCCAGTTCATCCCAGTTCCATCCCAGTCCATCCCAGTTCCATCCCAGTTCATCCCAGTCCATCCCAGTTCATCCCAGTTCCATCCCAGTTCATCCCAGTTCATCCCAGTCCATCCCAGTCCATCCCAGTCCCTTCCAGTTCCATCCCAGTCCCCTCCAGTCCCCTCCAGTCCATCCCAGTCCATCCCAGTCCATCCCAGTCCATCCCAGTCCATCCCAGTTTATCCCAGTCCATCCCAGTCCCTCCCAGTCCCTCCCAGTCCATCCCAGTCCATCCCAGTCCATCCCAGTCCATCCCAGTCCATCCCAGTTTGTCCCAATCCATCCCAGTCCATCCCAGTTCCATCCCAGTCCATCCCAGTCCATCCCAATCCATCCCAGTCCCTCCCAGTCCCTCCCAGTCCATCCCAGTCCATCCCAGTTCCATCCCAGTCCATCCCAGTTCATCCCAGTCCCCTCCAGTCCATCCCAGTTCCATCCCAGTCCATCCCCGTTCCATCCCAGTCCATCCCAGTCCATCCCAGTTCTTTCCCTGGGTGTGTCCCACCTCCGCCCAGTACAGACCAGTACAGACCAGTACAGACCAGTGTGCCCAGTACTGCTCCACCGACACCTTTATTGACACCAGTAACGGCTCCCAGTATAGACCAGTAAGAGCTCCCAGTATAGACCAGTAACGGCTCCCAGTACAGAATAACATTCCCAGTACAGACCAGTAACGCTCCAGTACAGACCAGTAAGAGCTCCCAGTATAGACCAGCAAGAGCTTCCAATACATAATAACATTCCCAGTACAGACCAGTAACAGCCCCCAGTATGGCCCAGTAACAGCACCCAGTTCAGACCAGTACAGACCAGTACCAGCCCCCAGTATGACCCAGTAAGAGCTCCCAGTACAGACCAGTAAGAGCCCCCAGTACAGATCAGTACAGCCCAGTAACAGCTCCCAGTACAGACCAGTACAGACCAGTAAGAGCTCCCAGTACAGACCAGTACCAGCCCCCAGTAGAGCCCACTCACGGCTCCCAGTACAGCCCAGTACAGACCAGTACCAGCTCCCAGTACAGACCAGTAACAGCTCCCAGTACGGACCAGTACAGACCAGTACCAGCTCCCAGTACAGACCAGTAACAGCTCCCAGTACAGACCAGTAACAGCGCCCAGTACGGACCAGTACAGACCAGTAACAGCTCCCAGTACAGACCAGTACAGACCAGTAACAGCTCCCAGTACAGACCAGTACCAGCCCCCAGTAGAGCCCACTCACGGCTCCCAGTACAGACCAGTACACACCAGTAAAGCCCAGTCATGGCTCCCAGTACAGACCAGTACAGACCAGAAACAGCTCCCAGTACAAACCAGTACAGACCAGTACCAGCCCCCAGTACAAACCAGTACAGACCAGTACCAGCTCCCAGTATAGACCAGTACAGCCCAGTGCCATACTGGGAACCCACCCCCCCCATGGCGACGCTGCTCTCGATCCCGGGGTAACTTTGGGCTATTTTGGGGCATTTTGGGGCATTTTGGGGCATTTTGGGGCATTTCAGGAGATTCCACATTGGCCACGCCGCCCTCCATGCTTGGGGATGGGTTTGGGGGAATTTTGGGGGAATTTTGGGTGATTTTGGGATTTTTTGGGGGTATTTTGGGCTATTTCTGGGATATTTTTGGGGTGTATTTTGGGATATTTCTGGGATATTTTGGGATGTATTTTGGGGTATTTCTGGGATATTTTGGGATATTTTTTGGGTGGATTTTGGGGTGATTTTGGGATATATTTGGGGGTGTATTTTGGGGTATTTCTGGGATATTTTGGGGGTGTATTTTGGGATATTTCTGGGATATTTTTTGGGTGGATTTTGGGATATTTTTGGGGTGTATTTTGTGATATTTCGGGGATATTTTGGGGGTGTATTTTGGGGTATTTTTGGGATATTTTCGGATATTTTTTGGTGGATTTTGGGGTGATTTTGGGATTTTTTGGGGTGTATTTTGTGATATTTTTGGGATATATTTTGGGGTGTATTTTGGAATAATTCCGGGATATTTTTGGGGTGTATTTTGTGATATTTCTGGGATATTTTTGGGGTGTATTTTGGGGTATCTCTGGGATATTTTGGGGGTGTATTTTGGGATATTTCTGGGATATTTTGGGATATTTTTTGGGGTGTATTTTGGGGTGATTTTGGGATATATTTGGGGGTGTATTTTGGGGTATTTTGGGGATATTTTTGGGGATGTATCTTGGGATATTTCTGGGATATTTTGGGGGTGTATATTGGGATATTTCTGGGATATTTTGGGGGTGTATTTTGGGATATTTCTGGGATATTTTGGGATATTTTTTGGGTGGATTTTGGGGTGATTTTGGGATATATTTTGGGGTGTATTTTGGGATATTTCTGGGGTATTTCTGGATATTTTGGGGTGTATTTTAGGTGGATTTTGGGATATATTTGGGGTGATTTTGGGGTATTTTTTGGGGTGATTTTGGGGTATTTTTGGGGTGATTTTGCGGTATTTTTTTGGATATTTTTGGATATTTTTGGGGTGATTTTGGGTATTTTCGGGCTGTCTCAGATGGCCACGCTGTTCTCGATGTTCTCGGGGTCCAGGTAGGGGTAGGGCTGTTTTGGGGTGATTTTGGGGTATTTTTTGGGGTGATTTTGGGTATTTTCGGGCTGTCTCAGATGGCCACGCTGTTCTCGATGTTCTCGGGGTCCAGGTAGGGGTAGGGCTGTTTTGGGGTGATTTTGGGTATTTTTTGGGGGGGATTTTGGGTATTTTCGGGCTGTCTCAGATGGCCACGCTGTTCTCGATGTTCTCGGGGTCCAGGTAGGGGTAGGGCCGCTCCAGCCCCGCGTTCCTGGCCCGGATCTCGCGGGAGATTCGGCGCAGGCGGCGCCGGAAACGCCGGATCAGGCGCCGGGGGGCGGCCTCGGTGAAATGGCGCTCGGGGTAATGGCCCAGGGGGCGCTGGGGGCACAGACTGGGGTTACTGGGAGGGACTGGGAGCACTGGGAGGGACTGGGAGGGACTGGGAGTGATGGGAGAATGGCCCAGGGGGCGCTGGGGGCACAGACTGGGGTTACTGGGAGCACTGGGAGGGACAAACTGGGGTTACTGGGAGTGATGGGAGGGACTGGGAGGGACAAACTGGGGTTACTGGGAGGGACTGGGAGCACTGGGAGTGATGGGAGAATGGCCCAGGGGGCGCTGGGGGCACAAACTGGGGTTACTGGGAGTGATGGGAGGGACTGGGAGGGACAAACTGGGGTTACTGGGAGTGATGGGATAATGGCAAACTGGGGTTACTGGGAGCGCTGGGAGCACTGGGAGTGATGGGAGGCACAAACTGGGGTTACTGGGAGCGCTGGGAGCACTGGGATAATGGGAGGGACAAACTGGGGTTACTGGGAGTGATGGGAGGGACTGGGAGGGACAAACTGGGGTTACTGGGAGTGATGGGAGGGACAAACTGGGGTTACTGGGAGCACTGGGATTGATGGGAGGGACTGGGAGCACTGGAGTGATGGGAGAATGGCCCAGGGGGCGCTGGGAAGGACAAACTGGGGTTACTGGGAGCACTGGGAGGGACAAACTGGGGTTACTGGGAGCGATGGGATAATGGGAGTGACAAACTGGGGTTACTGGGAGCACTGGGAGGGACTGGGAGCACTGGGAGTGATGGGGGGCACAAACTGGGGTTACTGGGAGCACTGGGATAATGGCCCAGGGGGCGCTGGGAGAGAGAATTTGGGGAGGGGTCTCAGGGGTTTGGGTTATTTTGGGCTGGGGTCTCACCAGGTCCATGGGCTCGGTCCTGAGCACGGCCAGGGCTTGGTTTGGGTCAGTTTTGGGTCAGTTTTGGGTGGGTTTGGGTCAGTTTTGGGTCAGTTTTGGGTGGGTTTTGGGTGGATTTGGTTGGATTTGGGTTGGGTTATTTTGAGGAGGGGTCCCACAGGGGTTTGGGTTATTTTGGGCTGGGGTCTCATCAGGTCCATGGGCTCGTTCCTGAGCACCCAGAGCAGGGAGATGAGTTGGGTTTGGGTTATTTTGGGTCGGTTTGGGTCAGTTTTGAGTCAGTTTTGGGTCGGTTTAGGGTCGGTTTTGGGTCAGTTTTGGGTGGGTTTGGGTCAGTTTTGGGTGGGTTTTGGGTGGGTTATTTGGGGTTTTGGGTGGGTTTGGGCTGGGTTATTTTGGGGAGGGGTCCCATAGGGATTCATTAATTTGGGGAGGGGTCTCACCAGGTCCATGGGCTCGGTCCTGAGCACAGCCAGAGCTTGGTTTGGGTGGGTTTGGGTCAGTTTTGGGTCAGTTTTGGGTCAGTTTTGGGTCAGTTTTGGGTGGGTTTGGTTGGGTTTGGGCTGGGTTATTTTGGGCAGGGGTCCCATAGGGGTTCATTAATTTGGGGAGGGGTCTCACCAGGTCCATGGGCTCGTTCCTGAGCACCCAGAGCAGGGAGATGAGTTGGGTTTGGGTCAGTTTTGGGTCAGTTTTGGGTGGGTTTTGGGTGGGTTTGGGTTGGGTTATTTTGGGCAGGGGTCCCACAGGGGTTCATTATTTTGGGGAGGGGTCTCACCAGGTCCATGGGCTCGTTCCTGAGCACCCAGAGCACGGCCAGCACCGTGGCCGTGGTGTTCATGGCCGGCAGAGCCTCCAGGAATTCCCGCTCGGACAGGGCGGCCTTGGAGCGGGGAGGGGGCGCCCGCATGGCGGCCGGGGCGTTCGGGGGGAAGGCCGAGAGCTCAAACTGGCCAGAAACGGGAAAAGAGACCCAAAAATGGGCAAGAGAGACCCCAAAATGGGGGAGAGAGACCCCAAAAATGGGGGGAGAGAGACCTCAATGTTAGAGAGCTCAAACTGGCCAGAAACGGGAAAAGAGACCCAAAAAATATCAGAGAGAGACCCCAAAAATGGGGGAGAGAGAAACCCCAATGTTAGACAGCTCAAACTGGCCAAAAATGGGAAAAGAGACCCAAAAAATGTGTGAGAGGGACCCCAAAAAATGGGGAAAGAGACCCCAAAGACGGGGGAGAGAGACCCCAATGTTAGAGAGCTCAAACTGGCCAGAAACGGGAAAAGAGACCCCAAAAATGAGTGAGAGGGACCCCAAAAATGGGGGAGAGGGACCCCAATGTTAGAGAGGTCAAACTGACCAAAAACGGGAAAAGAGACCCCAAAATATCAGAGAGAGACCCCAAAAATGGGGGGAGAGAGAAACCCCAATGTTAGAGAGCTCAAACTGGCCAGAAACGGGAAAAGAGACCCAAAAAATATCAGAGAGAGACCCCAAAAATGGGGGAACAGAGACCTCAATGTTACACAGCTCAAACTGACCCAAAAATGGGGAAAGGGACCCCAAAAAATATCAGAGAGAGACCCCAAAAATGGGGGAGAGAGACCCCAAAAATGGGGGGAGAGAGAAACCCCAATGTTAGAGAGCTCAAACTGGCCAAAAACGGGGAAAGAGACCCAAAAATGTGTGAGAGGGACCCCAAAAATGGGGGAGAGAAACCCCAGTGTTAGAGAGCTCAAACTGGCCAGAAACGGGAAAAGAGACCCAAAAAATATCAGAGAGGGACCCCAAAAATGGGGGGAGATAGAGACCCCAAAATTGTCACAGAGACCCCAATGTGAGAGAGCTCAAAGTGACCCCAAAAACCTGAGAGAGACCCCAAAAATATCAAAGAGAGACCCCAAAAATGGGAGAGAGAAAACCCAATGTGAGACAGCTGAAAGTGACCCAAAAATGGGAAAAGAGACCCCAAAAATGTGTGAGAGAGACTCCAAAAATGGGGGGAGAGAGACCCCAATGTTAGACAGCTCAAACTGGCCAGAAACGGGAAAAGAGACCCAAAAATGAGTGAGAGGGACCCCAAAAATGTGTGAGAGGGACCTCAATGTTAGAGAGCTCAAACTGAGCAAAAACGGGAAAAGAGACCCAAAAATGTGGGAGAGAGACCCCAAAAATGGGGAAAGAGACCCTAAAAATGGGGGAGAGAGACCTCAATATTAGAGAGCTCAAACTGGCCAGAAACGGGAAAAGAGACCCAAAAAATGGGCAAGAGAGACCCAAAAAATGGGGGGAGAGAGAAACCCCAATGTTAGAGAGCTCAAACTGGCCAAAAACGGGAAAAGAGACCCAAAAATGGGGGGAGAGAGAGACCCCAAAAATGTGTGAGAGGGACCTCAATGTTACACAGCTCAAACTGGCCAGAAATGGGAAAAGAGACCCAAAAATGTGTGAGAGGGACCCCAAAAATGGGGGAGAGAGACCCCAAAAATGGGGGAGAGAGACCCCAAAAATGGGGGGAGAGAGAAACCCCAATGTTAGACAGCTCAAACTGGCCAAAAACGGGAAAAGGGACCCCAAAAATGTCAGAGAGAGACCCCAAAAATGGGAGTGAGAGAGACCCCAAAATGGGGCGAGAGAGAAACCCCAATGTTAGAGAGCTCAAACTGGCCAGAAACGGGAAAAGAGACCCAAAAAACGTGTGAGAGGGACCCCAAAAATGGGAGGAGAGAAAACCCAATGTGAGACAGCTCAAACTGACCAAAAACAGGAAAAGAGACCCAAAAATGTGTGAGAGGGACCCCAAAAATGGGGGAGAGGGACCCCAATGTTAGAGAGCTCAAACTGACCCAAAAATGGGGAAAGGGACCCCAAAAATGTGTGAGAGAGACACCAAAAATGGGGGAAAGAGACCCCAAAAATGTGTGAGAGAGACCCCAATGTTAGAGAGCTCAAACTGGCCAAAAACGGGAAAAGAGACCCAAAAAATGGGCAAGAGAGACCCCAAAATGCCCCAAAGAGCCCAAAATTGCCCCAGAGAGCCCAAAAATGCCCCAGAGCCCCCCCAGACCGCCCCCAAACCTTCCCAGAGCCCCAAAACTGCCCTGGGGGGGGCGGGGACAGGGGTCAGGGGTCACTGTGGGGGTCAGGGGTCACTGTGGTCACTCTGGTCAGTGGTCAGTGGTCAGTGGTCAATGGTCACTCTGGTCAATGGTCAATGGTCAGTGGTCATTGGTCAATGGTCAATGGTCAGTGGTCAGTGGTCAGTGGTCAGTGGTCAGTGGTCAATGGTCAGTGGTCAATGGTCAATGGTCAATGGTCAGTGGTCAGTGGTCAATGGTCAGTGGTCAATGGTCAATGGTCAATGGTCAATGGTCAGTGGTCAGTGGTCAATGGTCAATGGTCAGTGGTCAGTGGTCAATGGTCAGTGGTCAATGGTCAATGGTCAGTGGTCAATGGTCAGTGGTCAGTGCAGTGGTCAGTGGTCAATGGTCAGTGGTCAGTGGTCAATGGTCAATGGTCAATGGTCAATGGTCAATGGTCAATGGTCAGTGGTCAGTGGTCAATGGTCAATGGTCAGTGGTCAATGGTCAATGGTCAATGGTCAATGGTCAATGGTCAGTGGTCAATGGTCAATGGTCAATGGTCAATGGTCAATGGTCAGTGGTCAATGGTCAATGGTCAATGGTCACTCTGGTCAATGGTCAGTGGTCAGTGGTCAATGGTCAGTGGTCAATGGTCAGTGGTCAATGGTCAATGGTCAATGGTCAATGGTCAGTGGTCAGTGGTCAGTGGTCAGTGGTCAGTGGTCAATGGTCAATGGTCAATGGTCAGTGGTCAATGGTCAGTGGTCACTCTGGTCAATGGTCAATGGTCAATGGTCAGTGGTCACTCTGGTCAATGGTCAGTGGTCAATGGTCAGTGGGAGTGGTCAATGGTCAATGGTCAATGGTCAGTGGTCAATGGTCAATGGTCAATGGTCAGTGGTCAATGGTCAGTGGTCAGTGGTCAATGGTCAATGGTCAATGGTCAGTGGTCAGTGGTCAGTGGTCAGTGGTCACTGTGGTCAGTGGTCAGTGGTCACTCAGGTCAGTGGTCAGTGTGGTCACTGTGGTCAGTACCTGGCCGCTGTTGGTGGCCGCGTGGTGCGCAGAGCAGGTGTAGATCACGGTGGGGCAGGGTCAGTGGTCACTGTGGTCAGTGTGGTCAGTGTGGTCAGTGTCAGTGGTCAGTGGTCAGTGGTCAGTGGTCAGTGTCAGTGGTCACTCAGGTCAGTGGTCAGTACCTGGCCGCTGTTGGTGGCCGCGTGGTGCGCAGAGCAGGTGTAGATCACGGTGGGGCAGTGTCAGTGGTCACTGTGGGTCAGTGGTCAGTGTGGTCAGTGTGGGTCAGTGTGGTCAGTGCAGTGGTCAGTTTGTGGTCAGTGGTCAGTACCTGGCCGCTGTTGGTGGCCGCGTGGTGCGCAGAGCAGGTGTAGATCACGGTGGGGCAGGGTCAGTGGTCACTGTGGGTCAGTGTGGGTCAGTGTCAGTGGTCAGTGGTCAGTGTGTGGTCACTCTGGTCAGTGTGTGGTCACTCTGGTCAGTGTGTGGTCACTGTGGTCAGTACCTGGCCGCTGTTGGTGGCCGCGTGGTGCGCAGAGCAGGTGTAGATCACGGTGGGGCAGGGTCAGTGGTCACTGTGTGGGTCAGTGGTCAGTGTCAGTGGTCAGTGTGGGTCAGTGGTCAGTGGTCAGTGGTCACTCAGGTCAGTGGTCAGTACCTGGCCGCTGTTGGTGGCCGCGTGGTGCGCAGAGCAGGTGTAGATCACGGTGGGGCAGTGTATGGTCAATGGTCACTGTGGGTCAGTGGTCACTGTGGGGGTCAGTGGTCAGTGTCAGTGGTCAGTGGTCAGTGTGGTCAGTGGTCAGTGGTCACTCAGGTCAGTGGTCAGTACCTGGCCGCTGTTGGTGGCCGCGTGGTGCGCAGAGCAGGTGTAGATCACGGTGGTGACGAAGGTGACGAGGCCACGCACGGAGTGCAGACGGGAGGGGACACCTGGGACAGGGCAGCCAGGGGCACCTGAGGACACCTGAGCCCACCTGAGGGGTCACCTGACCCCAGCTGTGCCCACCTGTACCCACCTGAACTCACCTGAGGGGTCGCCTGTGCCCACCTGAACCCACCTGTGCTCACCTGTGCCAACCTGAGGGGTCACCTGAACCCACCTGAACCCACCTGTGCCCACCTGTGCCCACCTGAGGGGTCACCTGTGCCCACCTGTGCTCACCTGTACCCACCTGTGCACACTTGAGGGGTCACCTGAACCCACCTGTGCCCACCTGTGCCCACCTGAACCCACCTGAGGGGTCACCTGTGCCCACCTGAACCCACCTGTGCCCACCTGTGCCCACCTGTGCCCACCTGTGCTCACCTGTGCCAACCTGAGGGGTCACCTGAACCCACCTGTGCCCACCTGAGGGGTCACCTGAACCCACCTGTGCCCACCTGTGCTCACCTGTACCCACCTGTGCACACTTGAGGGGTCACCTGAACCCACCTGTGCCCACCTGAGCCCACCTGTGCCTACCTGAGAGCTCACCTGAACCCACCTGTGCCCACCTGAGAGCTCACCTGAGCTCACCTGAACCCACCTGAGCTCACCTGTGCCCACCTGAGAGCTCACCTGAACCCACCTGAGAGCTCACCTGAGCTCACCTGAACCCACCTGAGCTCACCTGTGCCCACCTGAGGGCTCACCTGAACCCATCTGTGCTCACCTGTGAGGTCACCTGCCCCCAGCTGCCCCCATCTGTGCCCCCCATGCCCACCTGAGGGGTCACCTGTCCCCAGCTGTCCCCAGGTGCCCCCCGTGCCCACCTGAGCTCCTCCTGTCCCCAGGTGTCCCCAGGTGTCCCCAGGTGTCCCCAGGTGCCCCCCCCCCCTGCCCACCTGAGCTCCTCCTGCCCAGGAAGCCCCTGGTGAAGATTTCGCCCACCCAGGCCTGGAGCTCGGGGTCCTCCTGGACGGCGGCGTCCGAGGGGTAATAGAGGGACAGGACACCTGTGACAAACCTGGGGACATTGGGGACACCTGTGACAAACCTGGGGACAGGTAATAGAGGGACAGGACACCTGTGACAAACCTGGGGACAGGTAATAGAGGGACAGGACACCTGTGACAAACCTGGGGACATTGGGGACAATGGGGACACCTGTGACAAACCTGGGGACAGGTAATAGAGGGACAGGACACCTGTGACAAACCTGGGGACATTGGGGACACCTGTGACAAACCTGGGGACATTGGGGACATTGGGGACACCTGTGACAAACCTGGGGACAGGTAATAGAGGGACAGGACACCTGTGACAAACCTGGGACAGGTAATAGAGGGACAGGACACCTGTGACAAACCTGGGGACATTGGGGACAATGGGGACACCTGTGACAAACCTGGGGACAGGTAATAGAGGGACAGGACACCTGTGACAAACCTGGGGACATTGGGGACACCTGTGACAAACCTGGGGACATTGGGGACATCAATGGGGACACCTGTGACAAACCTGGGACAGCAATGGGGACATTGGGGACAGGTAATAGAGGGACAGGACACCTGTGACAAACCTGGGACATTGGGGACATCAATGGGGACACCTGTGACAAACCTGGGGACACCAATGGGGACAGGTAATAGAGGGACAGGAGCCCGGTGACAAACCTGGGGACATTGGGGACAGCAATGGGGACAATGGGGACACTGGGGACAGGTAATAGAGGGACAGGACACCTGTGACAAACCTGGGACAGCAATGGGGACATTGGGGACATTGGGGACAGACCTGGGGACATTGGGGAGAGGTAATAGAGGGACAGGAGCCCCGTGACAAACCTGGGGACACCAATGGGGACACCTGTGACAAACCTGGGGACATTGGGGACATCAATGGGGACACTGGGGACACTGGAGTAACAGAGGGATAGGAGCCTGGTGACAAACCTGGGGACATCCAGGGGACATTGGGGGACATTGGGGGGACATTGTGGACATTAATGGGGACATTGAGGAGACTGGGGACATTGGGGACATTGGGGACATTAATGGGGACACTGGGGACATCAATGGGTTCATAGGGGGTGTCCAGGGGGTGTCCCCAGGTGTCCCCACCTGCGGATGGCCCGCCACACCTTGGTGGCCTGGGGACATCAATGGGTTCATTGGGGCCATAGGGGGTGTCAGGGTGTGTCCCCATGTCCCCAGGTGTCCCCACCTGCGGATGGCCCGCCACACCTTGGTGGCCTGGGGACATTAATGGGTTCATTGGGGCCATAGGGGGTGTCAGGGGTGTCCCCAGGTGTCCCCACCTGCGGATGGCCCGCCACACCTTGGTGGCCTGGGGACACTGGGGACATTAATGGGTTCATAGGGGGTGTCCCCAGGTGTCCCCACCTGCGGATGGCCCGCCACACCTTGGTGGCCTGGGGACACTGGGGACATTAATGGGTTCATAGGGGGTGTCAGGGGGTGTCCCCAGGTGTCCCCACCTGCGGATGGCCCGCCACACCTTGGTGGCCTGGGGACATTAATGGGTTCATAGGGGGTGTCAGGGGGTGTCCCCATGTCCCCAGGTGTCCCCACCTGCGGATGGCCCGCCACACCTTGGTGGCGTCGCTGCCGAAGTGGTGCCGCTTGGTGGCCGCCACCCCTCGGTGCCGCAGGTCCCGGGGCAGCACCAGCGAGCGCCAGCGCAGCGCCCGCAGCCCCCGCGCCACCAGCGCCAGGAGACCCCGCCGGCCCAGCGCCACCGCCTGGGGACAGTGGGGACACTCAGGGGACAGCCTGGGGACACGGCGGTGCCACCCCAGTGTCACCAAAATCCCGCAATTCCAGCCCAAATTCACCAAAATCCCCGCAATTCCCACCCAAAACCCGGTAATTCTACCCCAAACCCTGCACCACCAGCGCCAGCAGACCCCGCCCGCCCAGCGCCACCGCCTGGGGACACCGAGGGGACATTGGGGACACTCAGGGGACAGCGCGGGGACACCCCAGTGTCACCAAAACCCGGTAATTCCAGCCCAAAATCCCACAAAAATCCCGCAATTCCCACCCAAAATTCCGCAATTCCCACCCAAAATCCCGCAATTCCCACCCAAAATCCCGCAATTCCAGCCCAAATTCCGCCCCATCGGTGCCCGCAGCCCCCGCCCGGCCCAGCGCCACCGCCTGGGGACACCGAGGGGACACTCAGGGGACAGCGCGGGGACAGCCCGGTGTCACCAAAACCCCGCAGTTCCAGCCCAAAATCCCGCAATTCCAGCCCAAAATCCGGTAATTCTACCCCAAATCCCGCAATTCCAGCCCAAAATCCGGTAATTCTACCCCAAATCCCGCCCCATTGGTGCCCGCAGCCCCCGCGCCACCAGCGCCAGGAGCCCCCCCGGCCCAGCGCCACCGCCTGGGGACACCGAGGGGACATTGGGGACATCGGGGGGACACGGCAGTGCCACCCCAGTGTCACCAAAACCCGGTAATTCCAGCCCAAATTCACCAAAATCCCCGCAATTCCAGCCCAAAATCCGGCAATTCTACCCCAATTCCAGCCCAAACCCCGCCCCATCGGTGCCCGCAGCCCCCGCCCGGCCCAGCGCCACCGCCTGGGGACACCGAGGGGACACTCAGGGGACAGCCTGGGGACACCCCAGTGTCACCAAAACCCCGCAGTTCCAGCCCAAATCCCCGCAATTCCAGCCCAAAACCCGGTAATTCTACCCCAAATCCCGCGCCACCAGCGCCAGGAGACCCCGCCCGCCCAGCGCCACCGCCTGGGGACACCGAGGGGACACTCAGGGGACAGCGCGGGGACACGGCAGTGCCACCCCAGTGTCACCAAAACCCGGTAATTCCAGCCCAAAATCCGGTAATTCTACCCCAATTCCAGCCCAAACCCCGCCCCATCGGTGCCCGCAGCCCCCGCCCGCCCAGCGCCACCGCCTGGGGACACCGAGGGGACACTCAGGGGACAGCCTGGGGACACGCCAGTGTCACCAAAACCCGGTAATTCCAGCCCAAATCCCCGCAATTCCAGCCCCAAATCCGGTAATTCTACCCCAAATCCCGCCCCATTGGTGCCCGCAGCCCCCGCGCCACCAGCGCCACCGCCTGGGGACACCGAGGGGACACTCAGGGGACAGCCTGGGGACACGCCAGTGTCACCAAAACCCGGTAATTCTACCCCAAATCCCGCAATTCCAGCCCAAAATCCGGTAATTCTACCCCAAATCCCGCAATTCCAGCCCAAAATCCGGTAATTCTACCCCAAATCCCGCCCCATCGGTGCCCGCAGTCCCCGCGCCACCAGCGCCAGGAGCCCCCCCGGCCCAGCGCCACCGCCTGGGGACACCGAGGGGACACCGAGGGGACATCGGGGGGACACCCAAATCCCACCCCAGTGCCACCAAAATCCGGTAATTCCAGCCCAAATTCACCAAAACCCCGCAATTCTCCCCCAATTCCCGCCCAATGCCCGCGATCCCAAACGCCCGAGCCCCTCTGGGAATGCCCCCCCCCCCATCCCCCCCCTTTTACCGACCCCACTGAAGCCCCCAGACCCCCCCCCCCCCAATGCCCCCCCAGTGCTCCCCCAGACCCAATCGAAGCCCCCAGACCCCCCCCATATCCCCTGTGCACCCCCAGACCCCCGGTACCCCCCCCTTATCCAATCGAAGCCCCCAGACCCTCCCGGTGCCCACCCAGTGCCCCCCAGACCCAATTGAAGCCCCCAGACCCTCCCATATCCCCAGTACCCCCCAGTGCCCCCCCAGACCCAATCAAAGCCCCCAGACCCAATCAAAGCCCCCAGACCCCCCAGTACCACCCTGTGCCCCCCCAGACCCTCTGTACCCCCCAGACCCCCCCATATCCTCGGTGCCCCCCCAATGCCCCCCCAGTGCCCCCAGACCCTATTGAAGCCCCCAGACCTCCCCCCCCATATCCCCAGTACCCCCCAGTGCCCCCCCAGACCCAATCGAAGCCCCCAGACCCCTGGTGCCCCCCCCATATTCCCAGTACCCCCCAGTGCCCCCCAGGTGCCCCCAGTGCCCCCCAGACCCAATTGAAGCCCCCAGACCCCCCTGTGCCCCCCCAGTACCACCCAGTGCCCCCCAGACCAAATCGAAGCCCCCAGACCCCCCCAGACCCCCCAGTGCCCTCCCCCAGACCCAATCGAAGCCCCCAGACCCCCCCAGGTGCCCCCCCAGTGCCCCCTTGGTGCCCCCCCCTCACCCGGTCAAAGACCCCCCCGGGGTTGAGCAGGAAGCGCCGGGCGAGGGCCCCGATCTGCACCGTGAAACGGGTGTGGGGCACCAGGAGCTGCATGGGGCAATTAATGGGGCAATTAATGGGGCAATTAATGGGGCACCGTGAAACGGGTGTGGGGCACCAGGAGCTGCACGGGGGGCAATTAATGGGGCAATTAATGGGGCAATAAATGGGGTAAAACATGGGGGGCACCGTGAAACGGGTGTGGGGCACCAGGAGCTGCACGGGGGGCAATTAATGGGGCAATTAATGGGGAGGGGCAATTAATGGGGCACCGTGAAACGGGTGTGGGGCACCAGGAGCTGCACGGGGCAATTAATGGGGAGGGGCAATTAATGGGGCAATTAATGGGGCAATTAATGGGGCAATTAATGGGGCAATAAATGGGGCACCGTGAAACGGGTGTGGGGCACCAGGAGCTGCATGGGGCAATAAACGGGGAGGGGCAATTAATGGGGCAATTAATGGGGCAATTAATGGGGCAATTAATGGGGTAAAACATGGGGGGCACCCCCGATCTGCACCGTGAAACGGGTGTGGGGCACCAGGAGCTGCACGGGGGGCAAAACACGGGGGGCAATTAATGGGGTAAAACATGGGGGGCACCGTGAAACGGGTGTGGGGCACCAGGAGCTGCATGGGGCAAAACACGGGGGGCAATTAATGGGGCAATAGATGGGGCAAAACATGGGGGGCACCGTGAAACGGGTGTGGGGCACCAGGAGCTGCATGGGGGGCAATAAACGGGGGGCAATTAATGGGGAGGGGGCAAAACATGGGGGTCACCCCCGATCTGCACCGTGAAACGGGTGTGGGGCACCAGGAGCTGCATGGGGCAATTAACGGGGCAATTAATGGGGTAAAACATGGGGGGCACCGTGAAACGGGTGTGGGGCACCAGGAGCTGCACGGGGGGCAATAAATGGGGGGCAATAAATGGGGCAATTAATGGGGCACCGTGAAACGGGTGTGGGGCACCAGGAGCTGCACGGGGGGCAATAAATGGGGGGCAATTAATGGGGCAATTAATGGGGCACCGTGAAACGCGTGTGGGGCACCAGGAGCTGCATGGGGCAATAAACGGGGGGCAATTAATGGGGTAAAACATGGGGGTCACCCCCGATCTGCACTGTGAAACGGGTGTGGGGCACCAGGAGCTGCATGGGGCAATTAATGGGGCAAGAAATGGGGTAAAACATGGGGCACCCCCGATCTGCACCGTGAAACGCGTGTGGGGCACCAGGAGCTGCATGGGGGGCAATAAATGGGGGGCAATTAATGGGGTAATTAATGGGGGGCACCCCCGATCTGCACCGTGAAACGCGTGTGGGGCACCAGGAGCTGCATGGGGCAAAACACGGGGGGCAATTAATGGGGAGAGGCAATTAATGGGGGTCACCCCTGATCTGCACCGTGAAACGGGTGTGGGGCACCAGGAGCTGCACAGGGGGGGCAATAAATGGGGGGCAATTAATGGGGAGGGGGCAAAACATGGGGCACCCCCGATCTGCACCGTGAAACGGGTGTGGGGCACCAGGAGCTGCATGGGGGCAAAACATGAGGCAATTAATGGGGCAGTTAATGGGGAGGGGGCAAAACACGGGGCAATGAATGGGGCAATAGATGGGGCAAAAACTGGGACAATAAATGGGGAGGGGCAATAAATGGGGCACCCCCGATCTGCACCGTGAAACGCGTGTGGGGCACCAGGAGCAGCATGGGGCAATAAACAGGGGGCAAAAAATGGGGAGGGGGCAACAAATGGGGCAATGAACGGGGGGCAATGAATGGGGAGGGGGCAGCGGGATTTTTTGGGGTGGGGTTTTTAGGATTGGGGTTTTTCAGAGTGGGATTTTTTGGGGCCTGGGGTTTTTGGGTTTTGGGGTTTTTGGTTTTTTTGGGGTGGGGTTTTTGGGGTTTTTTGGGGTGGGGTTTTTAGGATTGGGGTTTTTCAGAGTGGGATTTTTTGGGGTTCCGGGGGTGGAATTTTTTTCATTTTTTGCCCTTTCAAACTGGGATTTTTTTTTGCTTTTTGCCCTTTCAGACCGGGATTTTTTTGCTTTTTACCCTTTCAAACCAGGATTTTTTCATTTTTTGCCCTTTCAAACTGGGAGTTTTTCATTTTTTAGCCTTTCAAACCAGGATTTTTTTTATTTTTAGCCCTTTCAGACCGGGATTTTTTCATTTTTTGGCCTTTCAGACCAGGATTTTTTTCATTTTTTGCCCTTTCAAACTGGGAGTTTTTCATTTTTTAGCCTTTAAGACCGGGATTTTTTTCATTTTTTGCCCTTTCAAACCAGGATTTTTTTCATTTTTTAGCCTTTCAGAGCCGGAATTTTTTCATTTTTGCCCTTTCAGACCGGGATTTTTTCAATTTTTTGCCCTTTCAGACCGGGATTTTTTCATTTTTTGGCCTTTCAAACCAGGAATTTTTCATTTTTTGCCCTTTCAGACCGGGATTTTTTCATTTTTTGCCCTTTCAGACCAGGAATTTTTTCATTTTTTTGCCTTTCAGAGGCGGAATTTTTTCATTTTTTAGCCCTTTCAGACCGGGATTTTTTTGGTTTTTAGCCTTTCAGACCAGGATTTTTTGTGGGGTTTTAGGGGTTTGGGGTGGGGTTTTTTGGCGTGGATTTTTTTTGTGTTTTGGAGCGACATTTTTTTCATTTTTTGGCCTTTCAAACCAGGATTTTTTCATTTTTTGCCCTTTCAAACCAGGATTTTTTCATTTTTTGCCCTTTCAGACTGGGATTTTTTCATTTTTTAGCCTTTCAGAGCCAGAATTTTTTCATTTTTAGCCCTTTCAGACCGGGATTTTTTCATTTTTTAGCCTTTCAAACCAGGATTTTTTTCATTTTTTGGCCTTTCAAACCAGGAATTTTTTCATTTTTTCCCCTTTCAGAGTGGGATTTTTTGGGGGTTCCAGGGTTTTGGGGTTACCTTGAAGAGGGGGTGCTGCGGTGGCAGCTGCCTGAGCGTGGCCAGGGCAAAGACCTCGCCCAGCAGGTGAGCCCGGAGCAGGTGGGTCAGGGCCTCGTGCACCTGGAACTCGGAGCTGCGCACCCAGGCCTTGGCCAGGGCCCAGAGCCAGGGCGGGTCCTGGGGCACGAACAGCGGCGACTCGGGGCCGGGCTCCTGAGACAGCTGGGGAACCACAAAATGGGTCAAAAAGGGCACCCCAAAACAGTCACAGGGACCCCAAAAGGGTCAGGGGGAACCTGAAATGTTCACAGCCCAAAGGGACCCCAAAAGGGTCAGGGGGAACCCCAAAATGGACAGCCCCAAAACCCTCACAGGGACCCCAAAAGGGTCAGAGGGATCCCAAAATGTTCACACCCCAAAAGGGTCAGGGAACCCCAAAAAGGGTCAGGGGAACCCCAAAATGGGCACCCTCAAAACCATCACAGAGACCCCAAAAAGGGTCAAAAATGGGCACCCCAAAACAGTCATAGGGATCCCAAAAGGGTCAGGGGAACCCAAAACGTTCACATCCCAAAAGGGACAAAGGGAACCCAAAAGGGTCAGGGGGAACCTGAAAGGGAAGGGGACCCCAAATGTGTCAGGGCGATCCCAAAAGGGGCACAGGGACCCCAAAATGGGCACCCCAAAACCATCACAGGGACCCCATAATGGACAGGGGAACCCAAAATGTTCATAGCCCAAAGGGAACCCAAAAAGGTCAGGGGAACCCGAACCATGAGAGGGATCCCAAAAGGGTCAGGGGAACACCAAAAAGGGTCAGGGAACCCCAAAAAAGGGTCAGGGAACCCCAAAATGGGCACCCCAAAACCCTCACAGGGACCCCAAAAGGGTCAGAGGGAAGCTGAAAGGGAAGGGGACCCCAAATGTGTCTGGGGGATCCCAAATGTGTCTGGGGGATCCCAAAATGGGCACCCCAAAACCCTCCCAGGGCAGCCAGGCCTTGGCCAGGGCCCAGAGCCAGGGCGGGTCCTGGGGCACGAACAGCGGCGACTCGGGGCCGGGCTCCTGAGACAGCTGGGGAACCACAAAAACGGTCAGGGAACCCCAAAAACGGTCAGGGAACCCCAAAAACGGTCAGGGAACCCCAAAAACGGTCAGGGAACCACAAAACAGTCATAGGGATCCCAAAAGGGTCAGGGGAACCCGAAATGTTCAAAGCCCAAAGGGAACCCAAAAGGGTCAGGGGAACCCGAACCATGAGAGGGATCCCACAAGGGTCAGGGGAACCCAAAATGGGAACCCAAAATGGGAACCCCAAAACCACCACAAGGACCCCAGAAAGGGTCAGGGGAACCCGAAATGTTTGTACCCCAAAGGGAACCCAAAAGGGTCAGGGGGATCCCAAAAGGGTCAGGGAACCCCAAAAGGGGCACCCCAAAACCATCCCAGGGACCCCACAATGGGCAGAGGAACGCAAAATGTTCAAAGCCCAAAAGGGTCAAAGGGAACCCGAAAGGGTCAGGAGGAACCTGAACCATGAGAGGGAACCCAAAAGGGTCAGGGAACCCCAAAAACGGTCAGAAAGGGGCACCCCAAAACAGTCATAGGGATCCCAAAAGGGTCAGGGGGAACCTGAAATGTTCGTAGCCCAAAGGGACCCCAAAAGGGTCAGGGGAACCCCAAAAGGGGCACCCTCAAAACCATCACAGGGACCCCAAAAGGGTCAGGGGAACCCAAAAGGGTCAGGGGGATCCCAAAAGGGTCAGGGGAACCCCAAAAGGGGAAACCCCAAAACAGTCATAGGGACCCCATAATGGGCAGGGGAACCCAAAAGGGTCAGGGGAACCCAAAATGTTCAAAGCTCAAAAGGGACAAAGGGAACCTGAACCATGAGAGGGATCCCAAAAGGATCAGGGGAACCCCAAAAAGGGTCAGGGAACCCCAAAATGGGCACCCCAAAACCTGCACAGGGACCCCAAAAGGGTCAGGGGGACCCCAAACGTTCACACCCCAAAAGGGACAAAGGGACCCCAAAAGGGTCAGGGGATCCCAAAGCTCCGGGGCTTCTTTATTGGGGTCCTCATCCATTTTTGGGGTCCTTTTTGGGTTTTTGGGGTCGTTTTTTGGGGTTTTTGGGGTCCCTCCTTGGGTTTTTGGAGTCGGTTTTGGGGTTTTTGGGGTGGTTTTTGGGGTTTTTGGGGTGGTTTTTGGGGTTTTTGGGGTGGTTTTTGGGGGTTTTTTGCTCACCTGGATGGCGAGGGGCAGCATCTCCCCCATTCCTCCCATTCCCAGCCCCCCCATTTCAAATTTGGGGTTTTTGGGGTTTCTGGGGTCATTTTTTGGGGTTTCTGGGGTGGTTTTTTGAGGTTTTTGGGGTGTTTTTTTAGGGGTTTTGGGGTTTTTGGGGTCGTTTTTGGGGTTTTTGGGCTCACCTGGATGGCGAGGGGCAGCATCTCCCCATTTCAAATCCCCAGGTTTTGGGGTCGGTTTTTGGGGTCCGGGTCCATTTTTGAGGTCCCTTTTTGGGGTTTTTGGTTTTTGGGGTCATTTTGGGGTCGGTTTTGGGGTTTTTGGGGTCCTTTTTTAGGGTTTCTGGGATCGTTTTTTGGGGTTTTTGGGCTCACCTGGATGGCGAGGGGCAGCATCTCCCCCATTTCAAATCCCCAGGTTTTGGGGTCGGTTTTTGGGGTCCAGGTCCATTTTTGGGGTCCCTTTTTGGGGTTTTTGGGGTGGGTTTTGGGGTTTCTGGGGTGGTTTTTTGGGGTTTTGGGGGTTTTTGGGGTCGTTTTTTGGGGTTTTTGGGGTCGTTTTTGGGGTTTTTGGGCTCACCTGGATGGCGAGGGGCAGCATCTCCCCCATTTCAAATCCCCAGGTTTTGGGGTCGGTTTTTGGGGTCCAGGTCCATTTTTGGGGTCCCTTTTTGGGGTTTTTGGGGTGGTTTTGGGGTTTTTGGGGTGGTTTTTGGGGTTTTTGGGGTGGTTTTTGGGGTTTGGGCTCACCTGGATGGCGAGGGGCAGCATCTCCCCCATTTCCAATCCCCCCCTGGTTTTGGGGTCCGGGTCCATTTTTGAGCTCCGTTTTTGAGGTTTTGGGGTTTCTGGGGTGGTTTTTTGGGGTTTTTGGGGTTTTTGGGGTGGGTTTTTGGGGTTTTTTGGGGTGGTTTTTGGGGTTTTTGGCTCACCTGGATGGCGAGGGGCAGCATCTCCCCCATTCCCCATTCCCAGCCCCCCCATTTCAAATTTGGGGTGTTTTTTGGGGTTTTTGGGGTTTTTGGGGTTTTTGGGGTTTTTGGGGTGGGTTTTTGGGGTTTTTGGGGTGGTTTTTGGGGTTTTTGGCTCACCTGGATGGCGAGGGGCAGCATCTCCCCGTCGGGGCGCTGGTGCAGGAGGCACAGGGGGGCGGCCACGAAGGTGGGGCGGCCGTCGATGGTGGCAGTGGGGAGCCCCTGCAGCACCCCATAATCGGCCAGGTAGATGTTCCCTGCCTGGGGGGCACCCCAACATCAGGGGGACCCCAAAACCCGGGGGTAACCCCGGCCTGGGATCCCCAAAATACCAAAAAACCCAAATTCTGGAAAAAATCCCAAAATTCTGGGAAAAATCCCAAATCCCAGCACCCCATAATCGGCCAGGTGGATGTTCCCTGCCTGGGGGAACCCCAAAATCAGGGGGACCCCAAAATCCGGGGGTACCCCCGGTCTGGGTCCCCAAAATCCCAAAAAATCCTAAAAATCCCAGAAAAAATTCCAAAATCTGAGGGAAAAACCCCAAAATCTGGGGGAAAACCCCAAATCCCAGCACCCCATAAAGGGCCAGGTGGATGTGCCCTCCCTGGGGGAACCCCAACATCAGGGGGACCCCAAAATCTGGGGGTACCCCCGGTCTGGGATCCCCAAAATCCCAAAAATCCTAAAAATCCCAGAAAAAATCCCAAATTCTGGGGGAAAACCCCAAATCCCAGCACCCCATAAAGGGCCAGGTGGATGTTCCCTGCCTGGGGGCACCCCAAAATCAGGGGGACCCCAAAATCCGGGGGTAACCCCAGCCTGGGATCCCCAAAATACCAAAAAATCCCAAAATTCTGGGAAAAAACCCAAAATTCTGGGGAAAAACCCCAAATCCCAGCACCCCATAAAGGGCCAGGTGGATGTTCCCAGTCTGGGGGAACCCCAACATCAGGGGGACCCCAAAACCCGGGGCTACCCCCGGCCTGGGATCCCCAAAATCCAAAAAATCCCAAAAATCCCAGAAAAAATCCCAAATTCTGGGGAAAATCTCAAAATTCTGAGAAAAAACCCAAATCCCAGCACCCCATAAAGGGCCAGGTAGATGTTCCCTGCCTGGGGGAACCCCAACATCAGGGGGACCCCAAAATCTGGGGGTAACCCCGGTCTGGGATCCCCAAAATCCCAAAAATCCCAGAAAAAATCCCAAAATTCTGGGAAAAAACCCCAAATCCCAGCACCCCATAAAGGGCCAGGTGGGTGTTCCCAGTCTAGGGGAACCCCAACATCAGGGGGACCCCAAAACCCGGGGGTACCCCCGGCCTGGGATCCCCAAAATCCAAAAAATCCCAGAAAAAATCCCAAAATTCTGGGGAAAATCCCAAAATTCTGGGAAAAAAACCCCAAATCCCAGCACCCCATAAAGGGCCAGGTGGATGTTCCCAGTCTGGGGGAACCCCAACATCAGGGGGACCCCAAAATCCGGGGGTAACCCCGGTCTGGGATCCCCAAAATACCAAAAAATCCCAAAAATCCCAGAAAAAATCCCAAAATTCTGGGGAAAAACCCCCAATCCCAGCACCCCATAAATGCCAGGTGAATGTTCCCTGCCTGGGGGAACCCCAACATCAGGGGGACCCCAAAACCCGGGGGTACCCCCGGCCTGGGATCCCCAAAATCCCGAAAAATCCCAAAATCTGGGAAAAACCCCAAAATTCTGGGGAAAAACCCCAAATCCCAGCACCCCATAAAGGGCCAGGTGGATGTTCCCAGTCTGGGGGGCACCCCAACATCAGGGGGGACCCCAAAACCCGGGGGTAACCCCAGCCTGGGATCCCCAAAATCCAAAAAAATCCCAAATTCTGGAAAAAATCCCAAAATATGGGAAAAAAAACCCCAAAATTCTGGGGAAAATCCCAAATTCTGGGGAAAAACCCCAAATCCCAGCACCCCATAAAGGGCCAGGTGGATGTTCCCTGCCTGGGGGGAACCCCAACATTTTTTATGGTTTTTATGGGGTTTTGTTGATTTTGGGGTGGTTTTTTGGGGTATTTTGGGGCAGTTTTTGGGGTATTTTGGGGCAGTTTTTGGGGTATTTTGGGGTATTTTTAGGGTCCCTCACTTCCATCTCCTGGCTCAGCGAGGTCCCTGTCCCCAGGCTCGGGGACACCATGGCCTCAGGGTGGTTTTGGGGTGTTTATGGGGTTTTGATGATTTTGGGGTATTTGTTTGGGGTATTTTGGTGTTTTTGGGGTGGTTTTTTTGGGATTTTGGGGGGTTTTATTGGGGTTTCTGGGTGTTTTAGGGTCCCTCACCTCCATCTCCTGGCTCAGCGAGGTCCCTGTGCCCAGGCTTGGGGCCACCATGGCCTCGGGGTTTGTTTGGGGTGGTTTTGGGGTTTTGATGATTTTGGGGTGGTTTTTAGGGTTTCGATGATTTTGGGGTGGTTTTTAGGGTTTCTGGGTGTTTTAGGGTGTTTATGGGGTTTTGGGACAGTTTTTGGGGCAGTTTTTGGGGTGATTTTGGTGTTTTTAGGGTCCCTCACCTCCATCTCCCGCTGCAGCGAGGTCCCTGTGCCCAGGCTCGGGGCCACCACGGCCTCGGTCACCGGGAAGTTGGGGCATTTTTGGGGTGTTTATGGGGTTTTGTTGATTTTGGGGTGGTTTTTTTTGGGGTTTTGAGGTAGTTTGGGGTGTTTTTTTGGGGTATTTCTGGGTGTTTTAGGGTCCCTCACCTCCATCTCCCGCTGCAGCGAGGTCCCTGTGCCCAGGCTCGGGGCCACCATGGCCTCGGGGTTTGTTTGGGGTATTTTGGGGTGGTTTTTAGGGTTTCTGGGTGTTTTAGGGTGTTTATGGGGTTTTGGGACAGTTTTTGGGGCAGTTTTTGGGATATTTTGGGGTATTTTTAGGGTCCCTCACCTCCATCTCCCGCTGCAGCGAGGTCCCTGTGCCCAGGCTCGGGGCCACCACAGCCTCAGGGTTTGTTTGGGGTATTTTGGGGTTTTTGGGGCAATTTTTGGGGTATTTTGGGGTGTTTGATTGGGGTTTCCAGGGTGATGCTTTTGGGGGGATTCTGGGGTTTGGTTTTGGGGTGATTTTGGTGTTTTTAGGGTCCCTCACCTCCATCTCCCGCTGCAGCGAGGTCCCTGTGCCCAGGCTTGGGGCCACCATGGCCTCGGGGTTTCTTTGGGGTATTTTGGGGTTTTTGGGGTGTTTGTTTGGGGTTTTGGGGCAGTTTTTGGGGTATTTTGGGGTGTTTGATCAGGGTTTTCAGGGTGGTGTTTTTGGGGGGATTTTGGGGTATTTTTGGGGCAGTTTTTGGGATATTTTGGGGTATTTTTAGGGTCCCTCACCTCCATCTCCCACTGCAGCGAGGTCCCTGTGCCCAGGCTCGGGGCCACCATGGCCTCGGGGTGTGTTTGGGGTATTTTGGGGCAGTTTTTGGGGTATTTTGGGGCAGTTTTTGGGATATTTCTGGGTGTTTTTAGGGTCCCTCACCTCCATCTCCCGCTGCAGCGAGGTCCCTGTGCCCAGGCTCGGGGCCACCATGGCCTCAGGGTGTGTTTGGGATATTTTGGGGCAGTTTTTGGGCTATTTCTGGGTGTTTTAGGGTCCCTCACCTCCATCTCCCGCTGCAGCGAGGTCCCTGTGCCCAGGCTCGGGGCCACCATGGCCTCGGTCACCGGGAAGTTGGGGGGCAGGCGGGGGCAGCGGCGCAGCAGGACGGGGTTCACCCCGCTCAGGAACTGCTCCCCGAAAAACGCGTCCGACTGCCAGTGCCGCACCACGTACTCTGGGGACACCAGCGGGGACGTTGGGGACACTTGGGGACACCTTGGGGACACCCCCTGAGCTGCTGGGACACCCCCAGGAACCCCAAAGCTTTGGGATCCCTGAAACGGCCTCGTGGCCCCTCTGGGATCCCCCCCAAATTCCTGAGGTCAACGTCCCCCGTGTCACCCCCAGTGTCCCTTCAATGTCCCCCTCGTGTCCCTCAATGTCCCCCTCGTGTCCCCAATGTCCCCAATGTCCCCCTCGTGTCCCCAATGTCCCCAATGTCCCCCTCATGTCCCTCAATGTCCCCCTCGTGTCCCTCGAATCCCCGAAACCTCCAGCCCCCCTCAATGTCCCCAGTGTGCCCCACAATGTCCCCAATGTCCCCAATTCCCCACAATGTCCCCAATGGCCCTCCCATGTTCCCAATCCCCACAATGTCCCCAATGTCCCCCCCCCGATGTCCCCAATCCCATTGGGGTGTCCCCAATCCCCCCAGTGTCCTTGATGTCCCCCCAGGGTCCCTGTGTCCTCTCCAAGTCCCCAGTGTCCCCAATGTCCCAAATCTCCTCAATGTCCCCAGTCACATCCATGCGCCTGTTTCCATGTTCCCAACGTCCCCAACGTCCCCAATGTCTCCCCAATGTCCCCAATGTCCCAAATCCCCCCAATGTCCCCAATGTCTCCCCAATGTCCCCCCAATGTCCCCAGGGTCCCCAACACCCCCAATGTCCCCAATGTCTCCCCAATGTCCCCAATGTCTCCCCAATGTCCCCTCAATGTCCCCAGGGTCCCCAACACCCCCAACATCCCCAATCCTACAATGTCCCTCAATGTCCCTCAATATCCCAAATCCACCTGTCCCCGATGTCCCCAGTGTCCCCAACCCCCTCAATGTCCCCAATGTCCCCCAATGTCCCCAGTGTCCCCAATCCCCCAATGTCCCAGTGTCCCTGATGTCCCTGATTTCCCTCAATCCACCAATGTCCCCAATCCCCCTACTGTCCCCAATGTCCCTCAGTGCCCCCACTGTCCCCAGTCCCCCCAATCCCCTCAATGTCCCCCAATGTCCCCAGTGTCCCCAATCCCCCCAATGTCCCCAGTCCCCCCAGTGTCCTCAGTGTCCCCAATGTCCCCCAATGCCCCTAATCCCTCCAATGTCCCCAATCCCCCAATCCCCTCAATGTCCCCAATGTCCCGCCAATGTCCCCAGTGTCCCCAATGTCCCCAATGTCCCGGTGTCCCCAGTGTCCCCAATCCCCCCGGTGTCCCCAATCCCCCCAATGTCCCCAATGTCCCGGTGTCCCCAGTGTCCCCAGTCCCCCCGGTGTCCCCAGTGTCCCCAATCCCCCCAATCCCCCCGGTGTCCCCAGTCCCCCCAATGTCCCCAGTCCCCCTGGTGTCCCCAGTGTCCCCGGTGTCCCCAGTCCCCCCAGTGTCCCCGGTGTCCCCAGTGTCCCCACCGGTGACGGGCGTGTGGAAGCAGCGGAACACTCGGGTCATGGCCTCCACGCTGGGCCACGAGCAGGGCATGGCCAGGAACCCCCGGAGCTTGGCCTCCAGGTTCCTGGGGACAGCAGGGGGACATTGGGGACATTGGGGGGACATTGGGGGACATTGGGGGACATTGGGGACATTCGGGGGATTTTGGGGACATTGGGGACATTGGGGACATTGGGGACACTGGGGGACATTGGGGGGGTTGGGGACATTGGGGGACATTGGGGGACATTGGGGACATTCGGGGGATTTTGGGGACATTCGGGACATTGGGGACATTGGGGGGACTGAGGGGATTGGGGACACTGGGGGCATTGGGGAGACATTGGGGACATTGGAGACAGCGGGGACATTGGGGACATTTGGGGATACTGGGGACTAAGGGGGACACTGGGGACACTGGTGGGAATTTGGGGACATTGGGGGACATTGGGGGACATTGGGGGACATTGGGGACACTGGGGACATTGGGGGACAGTGGGGACACCGGGGACACTGGGGACATTGGGGGGTTGGGGACATGGGGGACATGGGGGGATTTGGGACATTGAGGGGGACATTGAGGGACATTGGGGTGTGGTGTGGGCAGGGCGAGGTTTGGGGTGTGGGGTCAGTGAGGGGAGGGTCAGCAGGCAGGGGTCACTCAGGGGTCAGGGGTCACTCAGGGGTCAGTGAGGGTCAGTGAGGGTCAGGGATGGTCAGTGAGGGTCAGGGATGGTCAGTGAGGGTCAGGGATGGTCAGTGATGGTCAGTGAGGGTCAGGGATGGTCAGGGATGGTCAGTGAGGGTCAGGGATGGTCAGTGAGGGTCAGTGAGGGTCAGGGATGGTCAGTGAGGGTCAGGGATGGTCAGTGATGGTCAGGGAGGGTCAGGGATGGTCAGGGAGGGTCAGTGAGGGTCAGTGAGGGTCAGTGAGGGTCAGGGATGGTCAGTGAGGGTCAGGGATGGTCAGGGATGGTCAGTGAGGGTCAGGGATGGTCAGTGATGGTCAGTGAGGGTCAGGGATGGTCAGTGAGGGTCAGTGAGGGTCAGGGATGGTCAGGGATGGTCAGTGAGGGTCAGGGATGGTCAGTGATGGTCAGGGAGGGTCAGGGATGGTCAGGGAGGGTCAGTGAGGGTCAGTGAGGGTCAGTGAGGGTCAGGGATGGTCAGTGAGGGTCAGGGATGGTCAGGGATGGTCAGGGATGGTCAGGGAGGGTCAGGGAGGGTCAGGGATGGTCAGTGAGGGTCAGTGAGGGTCAGTGAGGGTCAGGGATGGTCAGTGAGGGTCAGTGAGGGTCAGGGAGGGTCAGTGAGGGTCAGGGATGGTCAGGGATGGTCAGGGATGGTCAGTGAGGGTCAGTGAGGGTCAGGGATGGTCAGTGAGGGTCAGGGATGGTCAGTGAGGGTCAGGGATGGTCAGGGATGGTCAGTGAGGGTCAGTGAGGGTCAGGGATGGTCAGTGAGGGTCAGTGAGGGTCAGGGATGGTCAGTGAGGGTCAGTGAGGGTCAGGGATGGTCAGGGATGGTCAGTGAGGGTCAGTGAGGGTCAGTGAGGGTCAGGGATGGTCAGTGAGGGTCAGTGAGGGTCAGTGAGGGTCAGGGAGGGTCAGGGATGGTCAGGGATGGTCAGGGTGGGTCAGTGGTCACTCAGGGGTCCCTCAGGGGTCAGGGGTCAGTGGTCACTCAGGGGTCACTCAGGGTCACTCAGGGTCGCTCAGGGGTCAGGGGTCAGGGGTCAGGGTCACTCACGCCGCGCTGCCCCGCAGGTAGAAGGCCGAGGCCTTGGCCCAGCTGTAGCTCAGGTCGGGGTCCAGCGGCGTCCCCAGGGGCAGCGCCCAGGGCAGGCCAGGGGCAAAGGGAGCCAGCCTGGGACAGGGACACAGGTGAGACACACCTGGGACAGGGACACAGGTGAGACACACCTGGGACAGGTGAGACACACCTGGGACACACAGACACACCTGGGACAGGTGAGACACACCTGGGACACAGCTGGACACAGCTGGGACAGGGACACAGGTGGGACACACCTGGGACAGGTGAGACACACCTGGGACAGGTGGGGACACAAAGACACACCTGGACACACGTGGGACACAGCTGGGACACACGTGGGACAGGTGAGGACACAACTGGCAACACCTGGGACACACCTGGGGGTGTCACACATACACACACACCTGTACCTGTCACCCCCCCAGGTGTCACAGTGTCACCTGTCCCTCACCTGTAGCGCCGCCGTTGCTGTACCAGGTGTCACACACACAGACACCTGTACCTGTCACACACACACACCTGTACCTGTCACCCCCCCAGGTGTGGCAGTGTCACCTGTCCCTCACCTGTAGTGCCGGTGTCACACACACACACACCTGTACCTGTCACAGCCCCAGGCGTCACACACACACACTCCAGGTGTGGCAGTGTCACCTGTCCCTCACCTGTAGCGCCGCCGTTGCTGTACCAGGTGTCACACACACACACCTGTACCTGTCACAGCCCCAGGTGTGGCAGTGTCACCTGTCCCTCACCTGTAGCGCCGCCGTTGCTGTACCAGGTGTCACACACACAGACACCTGTACCTGTCACACACACACACCTGTACCTGTCACCCCCCCAGGTGTGGCAGTGTCACCTGTCCCTCACCTGTAGTGCCGGTGTCACACACACACACACCTGTACCTGTCACCCCCAGGTGTGGCAGTGTCACCTGTCCCTCACCTGTAGCGCCGCCGTTGCTGTACCAGGTGTCACACACACACACCTGTACCTGTCACAGCCCCAGGTGTGGCAGTGTCACCTGTCCCTCACCTGTAGCGCCGCCGTTGCTGTACCAGGTGTCACACACACACACACACACACACCTGTACCTGTCACCCCCAGGTGTGGCAGTGTCACCTGTCCCTCACCTGTAGCGCCGCCGTTGCTGTACCAGGTGTCTCCGGCGCTGTCTCTGCAGCCGCGGGTGTCGCTCCATGGCCGGCGTGGTGGCTGCGGGGACACCGCGGCACAGGTGGGCACAGGTGGGCACAGGTGGGCACAGGTGTGGCACAGGTGTGGCACACGCGTGCCATAGGTGTGTCACAGATGTGCCATAAGTGTGTCCCACCCCCCCAGGTGTGCCCCAGGTGTGTGCCCAACTGTCCCAAATGCCCCCAGGTGTGGCCCAGGTGTCCCCAATGTCCCCAGGTGTGTCCCAGGTGTGTCCCCAATGTCCCCAGGTGTGTCCCAGGTGTGTCCCCAGCTGTCCCCAGGTGTGTCCCCAGGTGTGTCCAGGTGTGTCCCAGGTGTGTCCCAGGTGTGTCCCCAGGTGTGTCCCCAATGTCCCCAGGTGTGTCCCAGGTGTGTCCCCAATGTCCCCAGGTGTGTCCCCAGGTGTGTCCCAGCTGTGCCCTCAGGCAGCTCCCAGGTACCCCCAGGTGTCCCCAATGTCCCCAGGTGTGTCCCAGGTGTGTCCCAGGTGTGTCCCAGGTGTGCCCTCAGGCAGGTCCCAGGTGCCCCCAGGTGTGTCCCCAATGTCCCCAGGTGTGTCCCCAGGTGTCCCCAATGTCCCCAGGTGTGTCCCCAATGTCCCCAGCTGTGTCCCAGGTGTGTCCCCAGGTGTGTCCCCAATGTACCCAGGAGTGTCCCCAGGTGTCCCCAGGTGTGTCCCAGCTGTCCCCAGGCGTGTCCCCAATGTCCCCAGGTGTGTCCCCAATGTCCCCAATGTCCCCACCTGTGCCCTCAGGCAGCTCCCAGGTGTCCCCAGGTGTGTCCCCAGGTGTCCCCAGCTGTCCCCAGGTGTGTCCCAGGTGTGTCCCCAATGTCCCCAGGTGTGTCCCCAGCTGTCCCCCCAGTGCCCCCAATGTCCCCACCTGTGCCCTCGGGCAGCTCCCAGGTCCCGTAGCCCTGCAGCCAGCGATAGCACGGGAACTGGAAGGGGCCCAGGTGAGCGACGTCATCGGGGTCACCTGCGGGGACACGACTGTCACCTGGCGGTGATGTCACCTGTGCCACCACAGTGTCACTGTGCCATCAGTGTCACCTGTGCCATCAGTGTCACCTAGCAGTGATGTCACCTGTGCCATCAGTGTCACCTGTGCAGTCACAGTGTCACCTGTGCCATCAGTGTCACCTGTGCCATCAGTGTCACCTGTGCCATTAGTGCCACCTGTGCCACCACAGTGTCACCTGTGCCATCAGTGTCACCTGGCGGTGATGTCACCTGTGCCATCACAGTGTCACTGTGCCATCAGTGTCACCTGTGCCATCAGTGTCACCTGGCGGTGATGTCACCTGTGCCACCAGTGTCACTGTGTCATCAGTGTCACCTGTGCCATCAGTGTCACCTAGCAGTGATGTCACCTGTGCAGTCACAGTGTCACCTGTGCCATCAGTGTCACCTGTGCCATCAGTGTCACCTGGCGGTGGTGTCACCTGTGCCACCACAGTGTCACTGTGTCATCAGTGTCACCTGTGCCATCAGTGTCACCTAGCAGTGATGTCACCTGTACTACCACAGTGTCACCTGTGCCATCAGTGTCACCTGGCGGTGATGTCACCTGTGCCATCAGTGCCACCTGCGCCATCAGTGTCACCTGGCGGTGATGTCACCTGTGCCATCAGTGTCACCTGGTGGTGATGTCACCTGTGCCATCAGTGCCACCTGCGCCATCAGTGTCACCTGGCGGTGATGTCACCTGTGCCATCAGTGCCACCTGTGCCACCACAGTGTCACCTGTGCCATCAGTGCCACCTGCGCCATCAATGTCACCTGGCGGTGATGTCACCTGTGCCATCAGTGACACCTGTGCCACCACAGTGTCACCTGTGCCATCACAGTGTCACCTGTGCCATCAGTGCCACCTGTGGGGCTAAAGTCACCTGTACTGGCACAGGTGTCACTTTCACAGGTGGTGACATCACCTGTACTGGCTCAGGTGTCACCTGGGGGTGACATCACCTGTACTGGCACAGGTGTCACTTTCACAGCTGGTGACATCACCTGTGCCATCAGTGTCACCTGTAGGGGTGACACCTCCTCTGTCATCAGTGTCACCTGCACTGTCACAGGTGTCACCTGTAGGGGTGACATCACCTGTGCCATCAGTGTCACCTGTAGAGGTGACATCACCTGCACTGTCACAGTGTCACCTGTAGGGGTGACACCCCCCGTGCCATCACAGGTGTCACATCACAGGTGGTGACATCACCTGTGCCATCAGTGTCACGTGTAAAAGTGATATCACCTGTACCGTCACAGGTGTCACCTGCACTGTCACAGGCGTCACCTGCACTGTCACAGGTGTCACCTGTAGGGGTGACATCACCTGTGCCATCAATGTCACCTGTAGGGGTGACACCCCCTGTGCCATCACAGGTGTCACCTGTAGAGGTGACACCCCCTGTGCCATCAGTGTCACCTGTAGAGGTGACATCACCTGTACCATCACAGGTGTCACCTGCACTGTCACAGTGTCACCTGTAGGGGTGACACCCCCCGTGCCATCACAGGTGTCACCTGTAGGAGTGACACCTCCCATGCCATCACAGTGTCACCTGCACTGTCACAGGTGTCACCTGCACTGTCACAGGTGTCACCGTGCCCTCACCTGTGCTGCCAGCGCCGATGTCACCTGCGTCACCTTCGCCATCCTCCGGCTCCTCCTCCTCCTCCTCCTCTGGCTCCTCCTCCTCCTCTGGCTCCTCCTCCTGGCTGTCACCTGTCCCCTCGCTGTCACCTGTGCCCTCACTGTCACCTGTGCCCTCACTGTCACCTGTCCCCTGCTCCTCGTCTGTCACCTCCTCCTCGCTGTCACTTTCCTCATCCTCCTCCTCCTCCTCACTGTCCTCAGCGCTGTCCTCGCTGTCCGAGGTGTCCCCAGGTGTGTCCCTGGGTGTGTCCCTGGGTGTGTCCCCAGGTGTGTCCCCAGTGTCCCCGCGCTGTCCCCAGACGCTGACGCTCTCCAGGTACCAGGAGCTCTCGGGGAGGCCCCCGCAGGGCCCCTTGTGCACCTGGAGCAGGAGGAGGCGCCCGAGGGGACGGGGGACGCGCACCTGGTACTCGGTGACCTGGGGGACAGCAACGGGGACACGGTCACGGTGACACCTGTGTCACCTGTGACACCTGTGACACTGTCACTTGTGAGGGGACAGCAACGGGGACACGGTCACGGTGTCACTGTCACTGTGTCACCTGGGAGGGGACAGCAACGGGGACACGGTCACGGTGACACCTGTGTCACCTGTGACACCTGTGACACCTGTGACACCTGTGTCACTGTCACTTGTGAGGGGACAGCAACGGGGACAGGGTCACTGTGACACCTGTGTCACTGTGTCATTGTCATTGTGTCACTGTGACACCTGTGTCATTGTCACTGTGTCACCTGTGTCACCTGCGGGGACAGCAATGGGGACATTGTCACTGTGTCACCTGTGTCACCTGGGAGGGGACAGCAACGGGGACACGGTCACTGTGACACCTGTGTCATTGTCACTGTGTCACCTGTGTCACCTGTGTCACCTGTGTCACTGTCACTGTGTCATTGTCATTGTGTCACCTGTGTCACCTGTGAGGGGACAGCAACGGGGACACGGTCACGGTGTCACCTGTGTCACCTGTGTCATTGTCACTGTCACTGTGTCACTGTGTCATTGTCACTGTGTCATTGTCATTGTGTCACCTGCGGGGACAGCAACAGGGACACGGTCACGGTGACACCTGTGTCACTGTGTCACCTGTGTCACTGTGTCATTGTGTCACCTGTGTCACCTGTGAGGGGACAGCAACGGGAACACGGTCACGGTGACACCTGTGTCACTGTCACTGTGTCACCTGTGTCACCTGTGTCACCTGGGGGGACAGCAACGGGGACACAGTCACTGTGACACCTGTGTCACCTGTGTCATTGTCATTGTCACTGTGTCACCTGTGTGACTGTCACTGTGTCACCTGTGTCACTCTGTCATTGTCATTGTGTCACCTGTGTCATTGTCATTGTGTCACTGTGTCACCTGTGTCACTGTGTCACTGTCACTGTCACCTGTGTCACTGTGTCACCTGGGAGGGGACAGCAACGGGGCCATTGTCACCTGTGTCACTGTGTCATTGTCATTGTGTCACTGTGTCACCTGTGTCACCTGTGTCACCTGTGTCACCTGGGAGGAGACAGCAACGGGGACACGGTTACGGTGACACCTGTGTCACTGTGTCACTGTCATTGTGTCACCTCTGAGGGGACAGCAACGGGGACACGGTCACTGTGTCACTGTCACTGTGTCACCTGTGTCACTGTGTCACTGTCATTGTGTCACTGTGTCACTGTGTCACTGTCACCCGTGAGGGGACAGCAACAGGGACATGGTCACAGTGACACCTGTGTCACTGTCACTATGTCATTGTGTCACTGTCACCGTGTCACTGTCACCTTGCTGTGCAGCCACTGCCACTGCAGTGTCACCATTGGCACCATGACAATGCCACCGTTGTCACCATGGCCAGGCCACCATTGTCACCATGGCCAGGCCACCATTGTCACCGTGGCTGTGTCACTGTTGTCACCATGACAATGCCACCATTGTCACTGTGCTCTGCCACCACCATTGTCCCACAGTTGTCACCATGGCTGTGTCACCATTGTCACCATGGCCAGGCCACCATTGTCACCATGGCTGTGTCACCATGGCTGTGCCACCATTGTCACCATGACTGTGTCACCACTGCTGTGCCACCGTGGCTGTGTCACTGTTGTCACCATGACAATGCCACCATTGTCACCGTGGCTCTGCCACCACCATTGTCCCACAGTTGTCACCATGGCTGTGTCACCATTGTCACCATCGCTGTGTCACAGTTGTCACCATCACTGTCACCATCACCAGGCCGTCGTTGTCACCATGGCTGTGCCACCATGGCAGTGTCACCATGGCTGTGTCACCATTGTCACCATCGCTGTGTCACAGTTGTCACCATCACTGTCACCATCACCAGGCCGTCGTTGTCACCGTGGCTGTGCCACCATGGCAGTGTCACCACTGCCACCCTCGCTGTGTCACCACTGCCACCTTTGCTGTGTCACCGCTGCCACCTTCGCTGTGTCACTGCCACCGCCGCCACCACCACCACCAGGCCACCGTCACCATTGCGCCAGCGCCGTCACCTCGCCGTGCCACCGCCACCAGCGCTGTGCCACTGCCACCTCTGGGAACAACGGCACCAGTGTCACCAGTGTCACCATTGTCACTGTGCCACCATTGTCACCTCCACTATGTGACCATTGTCACGGTGTCACCATTGTCACCATCACTGTGTCACCATTGTCACCATTGTCACCTCCATTGTGTCACCATTGTCACCTCCATTGTGTCACCATCACTGTGTCACCGTGCCACCATTGTTCTCTTCATTGTGTCACCATTGTCACTGTGTCACCTCCATTGTGTCACCATTGTCACCATCATCGTGTCACCATTGTCCTCTCCATTGTGTCACCATTGTCACCATCACTGTGCCACCATTGTCACCTCCATTGTGTCACCATTGTCACCTCCATTGTGTCACCATTGTCACTGTGCCACCATTGTCACCATTGTCACCTCCACTACGTCACCATTGTCACCATCATCGTGCCACCATTGTCACCATTGTCACCATCACTGTGCCACCATTGTTACCTCCACTATGTCACCATTGTCACCATTGTCACCATCACTGTGTCACCACTGTCCTCTCCATTGTGTCACCATTGTCACCGTTGTCATCTCCATTGTGTCCACTCCATTCTGTCACCATTGTCCCCTCCATTGTGCCACCATTGTCACCTGCATTATCACCATTGTCACCTCCATTGTGTCACCATCGTCACCATCACTGTGTCACCATCGTCACCATTGTCACCTCCACGGTGTCACCATTGTCATCTCCATTGTGTCCCCTCCATTGTGTCACCATTGTCACCATCATTGTGTCACTATTGTCACCATTGCTACCGTTGTCACTGTGTCACCATTGTCCTCCCCATTGTGTCAGCATTGTCACCGTTGTCACCATCATCGTGTCACCATTGTCACCATTGTCCCCTCCATTGTGCCACCATTGTCACCACCAGTGTCACCATCACTGTCCCCTCCATTGTGTCACCATTGTCACCTCCACTGTGTCACCTCTGTCACCATTGCCACCATCGTCACCTCCATCGTGTCACCACTGCCACCGTGTCACCATTGTCACCATCCCTGTGTCACCATTGTCACTGCCACTGTGCCACCACCGTCACCATTGTCACCTCCATTATGTCCCCTCCATTATGTCCCCTCCATTGTGTCCCCATTGTCCCCTCCATTGTGTCCCCATTGTCCCCTCCATTGCGTCACCGCTGCCACCCCCGCCGTGTCCCCATTGTCCCCGTCACTGTGTCACCAATGTCCCCTCCATTGTGTCACCACTGTGTCCCCATTGTCCCCTCCACTGTGTCCCCACTGTCCCCTCCATTGTGTCACCATTTTGTCCCCTCCATTGTGTCACCATTGTCTCTTCCATTGTCCCCTCCATTGTGTCCCCAATGTCCCCTCCATTGTGTCACCTCTGCCACCCCCGCCGTGTCCCCATTGTCACCGTGTCCCCATTGTCCCCGTCACTGTGTCCCCATTTTGTCCCCTCAATTGCGTCACCGCTGCCACCCCCACCGTGTCCCCGTTGTCCCCTGCCCCGCCCGGCGATGGCGCCACCATCGCGTGTGTCCCCATCGTGTCCCCAGGGCCACCCACGCGGTGTCACCTGGCCTGGCCACGCCCCGGGGCCACCTCTGCTGTGTCACCTGGTGCCCCCTCCCCCCCCACCCCCTGTTTGGGGACATTTGGGGACACCTGGGTGACTTGGGGGCCAGGTTGAGACACACAGACCCTCACAAATGTCTCCAAATCCCCCCCCAAATGTCCCCAACTGCCCCACAAATGTCCCCAGATCCCCTCAAGTGTCCCAAATTGTCCCCAAATCCCCCCAAATGTTCCCAATCGACCTCAAATCCCCTCCCCAAATCTCCCCTAAAACCCCCAAATCCCCCCAAAGGTCCCCAAGACCCACAAAATGTCCCCAACTCCCCCCAAGTGTCCCCAAATCGCCCCAAAAGGTCCCCAAATCCTCCCCAATCCCCATAAATTCCCCTCGAGTCTCCCCCAAATGTCCCCAAACCCCCAAAAACGTCCCCAAACCCCCCAAAATGTCCCTGAATCGCCCCCAAATGTCCCCAAACCCCCCAAAATGTCCCCAAACACCCCCTAAATGTCCCCAAATCCCCTCCAAATCGCCCCCCAACCCCCGAAATGTCGCCAACTCCCCCAAATGTCCCCAAACACCCCCCGAAATGACCCCAAACCCCCGAAATGTCCCCAAACACCCCCCGAAATGACCCCAAACCCCCGAAATGTCCCCAAACACCCCCCGAAATGCCCCCAAACCCCCGAAATGTCCCCAAACCTCCCCCCAAATGTCCCCAAACCCCCCCTAAATGTCCCCAAACACCCCCGAAATGTCCCCAATCCCCCCAAATGTCCCCAACCCCCCCTAAATGTCCCCAAACACCCCCGAACTGTCCCCAAATCCCCTCCAAATCGCCCCCCAACCCCCGAAATGTCCCCAAATCCCCGAAATGTCCCCAACCCCCTCCCTCCCCTCAGCCGCCCCCCGCCCTCAGCCGCCCCCTCCGTTGTCTCTCACCGCCCCGCAATGGAAGTCGGGTCCCCAGCGATCCAGCGCGGTCCTGGCGCTGCTGCCGCGGCTCCCCACCAGCGTCACGGCGATGGCGTCGCTGGTGCCGGCGCCGGGAGCGGTCCCGGTGCGGACCCGCACCCGGTACGTGGCCATGGTAGTGGCGGTTCGCCCCCTCACGGTGATTGACGGGAGGCGGAGCCAATGGCGGCGGGGCTCACGCGCCGCCCGGCCAATCGCGGCGCGGCCCGTCGAAGCTCGGCCAATCGCGACGAAGAGCAGGTGGAATGGGCGGGGTTAAACCGTCACTTCCGCCTTCACTTCCGGCGGCGCTTCCGGGTGCGATGGACCCCGAGTTCGACGATGTGGTGGCGGTGGAGGATCTGATGGTGAGGCCACGCCCCCCTCCGCGAATGGACACGCCCCCTTTTTTGGCAGCCGCGCCCACTCCCTGTGGACCCCCCGAGTGCCGCGAGCCCCCCCGGCCACGCCCCTTTTGAGGTCCCCGAAACCGCCCGGGTTGGCCACGCCCACTCGCCCTCACGTACCACGCCCTCTGAGTGGCCACGCCCCCTTTGGTTGGGTGGTCACGCCCCCATCTGGGTTGGCCACGCCCCCTCTGGGACCCTCGGGGGTCTTGGCTGGGAGACTCCGCCCGTTTTGGCCACGCCCATTTGTGATCACGCCCTTCTGATAAGCTACGCCCACGAGCCCGCTCCCAGTAACACCCAGTGCTCCCAGTAACCCCCAGTGACTCATCCCAGTGCTCCCAGTACCCTCCCAGTGTTACCAGTAACCCCCAGTGACTCATCCCAGTGCTCCCAGTAGCACCCAGTACCCTCCCAGTGCTCCCAGTAGCACCCAGTGACTCATCCTAGTGTTCCCAGTACCCTCCCAGTCACTCCCAGTGCCCTTCCAGTGCCATTCCCAGTGCTCCCAATACCCTCCCAGTAAGGGCCCAGTGCTCTCAGTGCTCTCCCAGTAAGCCCCAGTGACTCAACCCAGTGCTCCCAGTAAGGGCCCAGTGCCATTCCCAGTGCTCCCAGTGCCATTCCCAGTGCTCTCCCAGTACCCTCCCAGTCACTCTCAGTGCCCTTCCAGTGCCATTCCCAGTGCTCCCAGTGCTCCCAGTACCCTACCAGTGCTCTCCCAGTAACCCTCAGTGACTCAACCCAGTGCTCCCAGTGCCCTCCCAGTATTCCCAGTGCTCCCAGTGCCCCCCTTTGCCCTTTGCCCTTTGCCCTTTGCGTTGTGCGCAGGCTCTGGAGCGCCGCTACGCGGCCGAGCGCCAGCAGGGGGCGCTGTCCCGGCAGTGCCGCTTCGAGTACGGCTGGGGCCTGGTGCGGAGCCGCTACCGGGAGGACACGGCCCGAGGGGTGGCGCTGCTCTCCGGTGAGGGGCGGGGCCAGAAACAGGGGGCGGGGCCTGCTCCGGTAACAGGAGGACACGGCCTGAGGGGTGGCGCTGCTCTCCGGTGAGGGGCGGGGCCTGAAACAGGGGGCGGGGCCTGCTCCGGTACCGGGAGGACACGGCCCGAGGGGTGGCGCTGCTCTCCGGTGAGGGGCGGGGCCAACACAGGGGGCGGGGCCTGCTCCGGTACCGGGAGGACACGGCCCGAGGGGTGGCGCTGCTCTCCGGTGAGGGGCGGGGCCAATAAAGGGGGCGGGGCCTGCTCCGGTACCGGGAGGACACGGCCTGAGGGGTGGCGCTGCTCTCCGGTGAGGGGCGGGGCCAACACAGGGGGCGGGGCCTGCTCCGGTAACGGGAGGACACGGCCCGAGGGGTGGCGCTGCTCTCCGGTGAGGGGCGGGGCCAACACAGGGGGCGGGGCCTGTTCCGGTACCGGGAGGACACGGCCTGAGGGGTGGGCGCGGCCTGCACAGGGGGAAAAAACACAGAAAAATTTGGGAAAAATTTGGGAAAAAACAAGGGAAAATTTGGGGGAAAACAGGGAAAAATTTGGGAAAAAACAAGGAAAAATTTGGGAAAAAACACAGAACAATTTGGGAAAAAATTGGGAAAAATTTGGGAAAAAACACGGAAAAAATTGGGAAAAAACACAGAAAAAATTGGGAATAAACACGGAACAATTTGGGGGCGGGGCCTGCTCTGGTACCGGGTGCACACGGCCCGCGGGGTGGGCGGGGCTTACCCGCTTTGGAGGGCGTGGTTACGGGCGTGGCTAAAGCAGGGGGCGTGGTCATGGCTGGAGGAATTTTGGGGGTGTCCCTGGGGGCAGTTTTGGGGTGACTCTTTGTGATTTTGGGGTGACTCTCTGTAATTTTGGTGTCCCTGGGGGCAGTTTTGGGGCGACTCTTTGTGATTTTGGGGTGACTCTTTGTAATTTTGGGGGTGACTCTTTGTGGTTTTGGGGTCCCCAGAGCTGCTGCCCGAGACCCCCCCGGAGGAGCAGCGAGACGTCCTCTTCTACCTGGCCATGGGCTACTACCGGCTCAAGGTGGGACAGGGGGACACTGGGGGGACACTGGGGACACTGGGGACATTGGGGGGGATTGGGGACACTGGGGGAAAATGGGGAACAATGGGAAAAATGGGACTGGGGACACTGGGGGGACATTGGGGACACTGAGGGGACATTGGGGGGATTGGGGACATTGGGGACGTTGGGAAAAATGGGAGAAATTGGGAAAAATGGGACTGGGGACATTGGGGGGACATTGGGGGAACATTGGGGAGTTTTGGGGGATTTGGGGACATTGGGGATATTGGGGACACTGGGGTCATTGGGGACACTGAGGGGACATTGGGGGAAAATGGGGAACAATGGGAAAAATGGGAGAAATTGGGACTGGGGACATTGGGGGAATTGGGGACAGTGGGGACACTGGGGACACACTGGGGACATTGGGGAGACATTGGGGGACACTGGGACACTGAGGGGACCTTTGGGACAAATGGGGAAAAATGGGGAAAAATGGGAGAAATGGGGAAAAATGGGACTGGGGATATTGGGGACACTGGGACACTGAGGGGGACATTGAGGGGACACTGAGGGGACATTGGGGGGACATTGGGGAAACCATTGGGGAAACATTGTGGAGGTTTTGGGGGATTTTGGGGCCGTTGGGGACATTGGGGACCACAGATGGGTCATGGGGGGGGGGGGGTGGCACAGGGTCTGTCCCCAATGTCCCCAACAGGGGTGAGAGAGCTCCTGGCACACCTGGAATGGGAGGGGGGGGGGACAGGGAGGGGACACAGGTGACACAACAGGTGACACTCAAGTGACACACAGGTGACACTCAGGTGACACACAGGTGGCCACAGGTGACACAGGTGACACACAGGTGACACACAGGTGACACAGGTGACACTCAGGTGACACAGGTGACCCCAGGTGTCCCCCCAGGAGTACGAGCGCGCCCTGGAGCACCTGGAGCAGGGGATGGGGGGGTGTCCCAGGTGACACAGGTGGCAGAGGTGACACTCAGGTGACACAGGTGACCCCCAGGTGTCCCCCCAGGAGTACGAGCGCGCCCTGGAGCACCTGGAGCAGGGGATGGGGGGTGTCCCAGGTGACACAGGTGGCACAGGTGACACACAGAGGTGACACAGGTGGCAGAGGTGACACTCAGGTGACACAGGTGACACACGGGTGTCCCCCAGGAGTACGAGCGCGCCCTGGAGCACCTGGAGCGCCTCCTGGCGGCCGAGCCGCAGAACGCGCAGGTGCTGAGGCTGCGGAGCCGCGTCCGGAGCCGCCTGAGGAGGGGGTGAGGGGGACACGGGGGGACATTGGGGACATTGGGGACATTGGGGGGGTTGGGGACATTGGGGGGTTGGGGACAATGGGGACATTGGGGACAGTGGGGGGACATTGAGGACATGGGGGGTTGGGGACATTGGGGGGATTGGTGACAGTGGGGACATTGGGGGGGTTGGGATGTTTGGGACATTGCGGGACATTGGGGACATTGGGGGTGTTGGGGACATTGGGGGGATTGGGAGGACATTGGGGGGACATTGGGGGGTGAGCCAGGGGGACACTGGGGATAGTGGGGAGACACTGGGGACATGGGGGATTGGGGACATTGGGGATGTTTGGGACATTGTGGGGACATTGGGGGCATTGGGAGGTGTGGGGGACATTGGGGACAGTGGGGGGACATGGGGGATTGGGGACATTGGGAGTGTTGGGGACATTGTGGGGACATTGGATTGATTTGGGACATTGGGAGGACATTGGGGACATTGGGAGCATTGGGGGGACATTGGGGGATTTGGGACATTGGGAGCATTGGGGACACATTTGGGGACATTGGGGTCAATGGGGGGATAGGGGACATGGGGGGACACTGGGGGCATGGGTGGGACATTGGGGACATTGGGGACGTTGAGGAGACAATGGGGACAGCAGGACAGCGGGGGGACATTGGGGACATTGGGGGGACATTGGGGGTGTCGGAGGCTCTGGGGACACAAGGACATGGGAGGGACAGGGGGACATTGGGGACAATGGGGACATGGGGAGGACATTGGGACCGCAGGGACAGCAAGGGGACATTGGGGACATTGGGGACATGAGGGTGTTGGGGACATTGGGGGGACATTGGGGACATTGGGGGGACATTGAGGGTGTTGGGGACATTGTGGACATTGGGGAGGTGCCAAAGCCCCCCCAGGTGCTGACATTGTCCCCTCTGTCCCCCCCCCTCCCAGACGGGCTGGTGGGCGCGGCCATCGTTGGGGGCGTGGTCATGGGCGTGGCGGGGCTGGTGGGCGTGGCCATCGCGCGCGCCCGGCACTGACCACGCCCACACCCCTCCCCTCCCCGGGAGAAGGGGCGGGGCCTGCGCGGTGACGCCGCGGAGATTACGTCAGGGTGCTGCGGGGTGACGTCATGACTCGCGGTGACGTCAGAGACACCGCCCCCCTTTCCCCCCCCCCTCCCCCACCCCCTCCCCCAGTGCCTTGGGGACCCCCCCGGGTGTCCCCCAGCCCCTCCCCCACCCCCGCACTGACCCCTCCCCTCCCCCCCCCGATGTAAATAAACCTGATTGGGCTCCGAGAGTGACGTCACTCGAGGGGGGCGGGGCTGGGACCCCCGAGGGACCCCAAATGTCACTTGAACCCCCCCAATGTCACCTGGGCCCCCCAAATGTCACCTGAGGCCCCCCCACAAATGTCCCCAGGTGTCACTGGGACCCCCCCCAAATGTCGCCTGAGCCCCCTCCCAGTGTCCCCATGGGCCCCCCAGATGTCACCGAGACCCCTCCAAGTGTCCCCCAGTGTCCCCAGAGCCCCCTCCCAGTGTCCCCAGAGCCCCCTAAGTGTCCCCAAATGTCACTTGAGCCCCCCCAAATATCACTTGAGCCCCCCCAGAGCCCCCCTAAGTGTCCCCGAGTGTCCCCAGAGCCCCCCAAGTGTCCCCAAATGTCACTTGAGCCCCCCAGTGTCCCCAGAGCCCCCCCAAGTGTCCCCAGAGCCCCTCCCAGTGTCCCCAGAGCCCCCCCCAGTGTCACCTGAGCCCCCTCAGGGCCCCCCCAAGTGTCCCCAATTGTCATTTGAGCCCCCCCAAATGTCACCTAGGCCCCTCCAAGTGTCCCACAGGGTCCCCTGAGCCCCCCCCAAGTGTCGTCAGAGCCCCCCAAGTGTCCCCCAGGTGTCACCTGGGCCCCCCAAATGTCACTGAGACCCCTCCAAGTGTCCCCAAGTGTCACCTGAGCCCCCCTCCAGTACCCCCAAGTGTCCCCAGAGCCCCCCCAAATGTCACCTAGGCCCCTCCAAGTGTCCCCAAATGTCACTTGAGCCTCCCCAAGTGTCCTCTGAGCCCCCCCCAGTGTCCCCAGAGCCCCCCAAGTGTCCCCAGAGCCCCCCCAGTGTCCCCAGAGCCCCTCCCAGTGTCCCCAGAGCCCCCCCAGTGTCACCTGAGCCCCCTCAGGGCCCCCCCAAGTGTCCCCAAATGTCACTTGAGCCCCCCCAAATGTCACCTGAGCCCCCTAAGTGTCCCCAAGTGTCCCCAGAGCCCCCCGAATGTCACCTGAGTCCTCCCAAGTGTCCCCAGGTGTCACCTGGGCCCCCAAATGTCACCTAGACCCCTCCAAGTGTCCCCCAGGGTCCCCTGAGCCCCCCCCAAGTGTCGTCAGAACCCCCCAAGTGTCCCCAAATGTCACTTGAGCCCCCCCAGTGTCCCAGAGCCCCCTCCAAGCGTCCCCAAGTGTCCCCAGGGCCCCCCCCAGAGCCCCCCCAGGGCCCCCCCGCGGGGTTTTTGGGTCCCCTCCCCCCCCCCCCCCCCCCCGTTTTGCGTCACAGGAAGGGGCTCGGGGGTGGGGGAGGGTGTGGGGGAGGGTGTGGGGGAGGGGCAGGAAGGGGGCAGGGGCGGCCCGGACACACCTGGTTCCTTCCGGGGGGGGAGGGGCGGGGGCAGCCCCCAAACCCCGGCCCGCCCCCGCCCGAGTGACCAGCGCCGGACACCAGCACAGACCAGTGAAACCAGTACAGACCAGTGCCGGACAGCAGCACAGACCAGTGAAACCAGTACAGACCAGTGCCGGACAGCAGCACAGACCAGTGAAACCAGTACAGACCAGTGCCGGACAGCAGCACAGACCAGTGAAACCAGTACAGACCAGTGTCGGACACCAGCACAGACCAGTGAAACCAGTACAGACCAGTGAAACCAGTACAGACCAGTGCCGGACACCAGCACAGACCAGCACAGACCAGTTAAACCAGCACAGACCAGTTAAACCAGCACTGGACACCAGCACAAACAGTACAGACCAGTGAATCCAGCGCCGGACAGCAGCACAGACCAGTTAAACCAGTTAAACCAGGGCTTGACAGCGGGGGACACCAGTGACCAGTGACAGCAGTGACCATCACCATCAGTGACCAGTGTCACCAGTGCCACCAGTGCCACCAGTGCCACCAGTGCCACCAGTGCCCAGTGACCACTGTGACAGCAGTGACCATCACCATCAGTGACCAGTGACCACCAGTGACCACCGGTGACCATCATCTCAGTGACCAGCACCACCAGTGCTCCCAGTGACACCAGTGACCATCACCACCAGTGCCATCACCACCAGTGACCAGTGACCGCCAGTGACACAGTGACCATCACCACCAGTGCCACCAGTGACCATCACCATCAGTGACCATCGCCACCAGTGACAACCAGTGCCCAGTGACCACCAGTGACCACCAGTGACCACCAGTGACCGTCGCCACCAGTGATCATCACCAGTGCCACCAGTGACCATCACCATCAGTGACCATCGCCACCAGTGACAACCAGTGCCCAGTGACCACCAGTGACCACCAGTGACCACCAGTGACCACCAGTGACCGTCGCCACCAGTGATCATCACCACCAGTGCCACCAGTGACTCCCAGTGACCACCAGTAACCATCACCACCAGTGCCACCAGTGACTCCCAGTGACCACCAGTAACCATCACCACCAGTGCCACCAGTGACTCCCAGTGACCACCAGTAACCATCACCACCAGTGCCACCACTGACCAGTGACCACCGGTGACCATCAGTGACCACCAGTGACCACCGGTGACCAGTGTTCCCATTGCCAACACTGACCAGTGACCACCAGTGCCCATCACCACCAGTGACCAGCGCACCCAGCACTCCCAGTGCACCAGTGACCAGTGACCACCAGTGACCACCAGTGCCCACCAGTGCCCACCAGTGCCCAGTGACCATCACCACCAGTGACCACCAGTGACCACCAGTGACCACCAGTGACCAGTGACCATTGCCACCAGTGACCACCAGTGCCACCAGCAACCACCAGTGACCATCACCACCAGTGCCACCAGTGACCATCACCACCAGTGACCATCACCATCAGTGCCCAGTGACCACCAGTGACCACCAGTGACCACCAGTGCCCATCACCACCAGTGACCAGTGACCATCAGTGCCACCAGTGCCCACCAGTGACCAGTGCCCATCACCACCAGTGCCACCAGTGCCACCAGTGCCAACCGGTGACCACCAGTGTCCCCGCGTCCCCGATGGCACCCGGGGGCTGTCCCCAGGCCCCGCTGGCCGCGCTGGCCGCGGTGGCCCTGGCGGTGGCCGGCTGGGGCTCCTGGTGGCCGCGGTGGCCGCGGGGGTGTGGGGCATGGGCGGGGGCCAGACCAGCGCTGTCACCGCTGTCATTGTCACCCGCGGGCTCTGGGCCGACTGCGGCACCGACGCCAGCGGGGTCATGTCCTGCGTGCCACTGCTGTCACTGGTCACCCTGCCCGGTATGGGGACAGCGGGGACAGTGGGGACAGGGTGGGGACAGTGGGGACATTGAGGGGGTTGGGGACATTGGGACATTGGGGGGATTGGGGGCTTGGGAAGGTTGGGGGGTTGGGGAGGTTGGGGACATTGGGGACATTATGGACAGTGGGAGGACTGGGGGCATTGGGGACATTGGGGACTTTGGGGGGTTTGGGGACATTGGGGACATTGGGGGGGTTGGGGAGGTTGGGGACATTGCGGACTTTGGGGACATTAGGGACAGTGGGAGGACTGGGGGGATTGGGGACATTGGGGACATTGGAGGGGGTTGGGGACATTGTGGGGTTTGGGGACATTGGGGGATTGGTGACATTGGGGAGGGTTGGGGACATTGGGGGATGGGGGAGGTTGGGGACATTGGGGACGTGGGAGGATTGGGGGGGATTGGGGGGTTTGGGACATTGGGGACATCAAGGAGGGGACAGAGAGCAAGGGACGGGGGGGAGGACAGGGGGGACATTGAGATATTTGGGGACATTGGGGACAGGGGGGACATTGGGGGATTGGGGACATTGGGGGGATCAGGAGGGGACAAAGAGCAGAGGACAGGAGGGGACACGGGGACATTGGGGGGTTGGGGACATTGGGGACATCCAGGGGACACTGAGATAGTGAGGGGACGCTGGAGATGGGGGATTGGGACATTGAGGAGCCGTGGGGGGACATGGGGACATTGGGGACACTGGGAGGATTGGGGGGATTGGGGACAGTGGGGACATCAGGGAGGGGACAGAGAGCAAAGGACAGGGGGGGACAGGGGGGACAGGGGGGACATTGGGGGGTTGGGGACATTGGGGCATTGGGGGGACATTGGGGGGATTGGGGACATTGGGGGACATTGGGGGGACATCGGGACATCGGGGACATCAGGCGGGGACAGAGAGCCGAGCCCAGGACGGGACGGGGAGGGGACATTGGGGACAGTGGGGACATTGGGGACAGTGGGGACAAGGGGACGTCAGCAGCAGGATGGGGACAGGGCCAGGAGCGGGGGGGACAGGAAGGACAGGGGGACATTGGGGACATCAGGACGTCAGTGAGGGGACAGGGATGGGGACAGGAAGGGACAGGGAGGGGACAGCGAGGACACGGGGACATTGGGGGGAGGGGGACACAGGGGGGGACATTGGGGGGACTTCGGGGGACAGTGGGGGGACATTGGGGACAGGGGGGGACATTGGGGGGACATTGGGGGGACATTGGGGGACATCGGGGGGACATTGGAGACAATGGGGGTGTGGGACATTGGGGACATTGAGGTGACCTTGGGGTGACCTTGGGGTGACATTGGGGTGGTGACACTGGGCGGACATTGGGGACATCAGGGTCACCTTGGGATGACCTTGGGGGTGACATTGGAGGGGGGACATTGGGGATATGGGGACATTGAGGGTGACCTTGGGGTGACCTTGAAGGGGGGACATTGGGGACAAAGAGGGGACATTGGGGACAAGGGGGGCATGGGGGACAGTGGGGACATGGGGGTGACCTTGGGGGACATTGGGGACATTGGGGTGACCTTGAGGTGACCTTGGGGACATTGGGACATTGGGGACTGCAGGGTGACCTTGAGGTGACCTTGGGACACTGGGGGGACCTGGGGGTGACATTGAGGGGTGACTTGGGGGGGTTGGGGGAATTTGGGGCATTTTTAGGGGATTTTAGGGGAGAATTTTTGGGGAGATTTTGAGTTATTTTGGGTAATTTTGGAGCAGATTTTTGGGATAATTTTGGGATAATTTTGAGTAATTTTGGGG